AAAAAATAATAGCAAAAATTAAATAAATAATTTTCCATATTCAATTATAATTAAAATTATAAAAATGTTTAAAGTTAAAATATTATAATGTAATTGGTGCAATTGGTTTCATTTTGTTGATTGTGGGTAGGCTGTCTGTAACAACTATATCTTTAAGACATGTAACACCTCAGTCTCTCCCGTGACCATGGATGCTGTAAAGCATTCGAAACGTCGGGAACCAAAAATCAAAATAAATCCGCGAAATAATCCGAAAAGATAGTTTTATTTAATAATGTCAAACATTCGCGTAAATCTAAGAAAGTATTCTCTAAAAAGGTAGTTAACTTTCATCCCCAATTTTACTCTCTTACAGGACTCAATTTCGAAAAATGCAATTATTTAACTTTGACATGTAATTATTCAATTTTATTGAAAAGCAATAATATTTTTCAAGTAATTCTGATCAAGAATATTTTTTTTGGATCGTAATATAACGTGTTTTCCCGTGGGATTTATAAAATCTCCCGCTTTAAAAACTAGCCTATGTCACTCTCCAGCCCTCCAACTATCTCCACACAAAAAATCACGCCAATCCGTCTCTCTGTTTCGACGTGAAAGAAGGACCAACAAATAAACAAAGAAACAAACACACTTTCACATTTATAATATCATTATTATTATATCATTATATCATATAAGTTTTACGTGGTATGTAGCATCCACTATGTGTGTAGAACGTCTTGTTTCCCAAAAAGGCTATACTACCAACCTGTATGTATCAAACGCATCCAGCTTCATTCCAATGACTTTTATAGTAAGTTGAAGTATTTCTGTTATAGCTATTTATTTACTATCTATATAAGTTGTTGAACTGATAAATAAGGTGGTTTATTTATTTATGTACATCTGTAAGCTGTTTGTTATGTAACTTTGTATGGTATAGCTTACTAGCACTACCTGCGGCTTCGCCCTCGTTCAAATTTCCGATCGCTATCGAACTTCATATGATCACTCGCTGGGCTAATCTAAAGATTTCCTGAAAATTTTGAGGTCCAAGGGAACATACATACACACATCGTTTTTTTTATAAATATAAATTATTACCATATTCATTATTTTTAAAATAAACACTTTCTTAGATTTACGCGAATATTGGACATTTTAAATATTTATTTAGATTTTTTGGTTCTTGACGATTTGAATGATTTATCATGGCCACGATTCCAAAAAATCCGAGAACATATTAATTGTATTAAAATTTTTAAAATTAAGTTATTTCGAATATTACTATTGTAAATTATAATAATTAATAGCTTTACTTTTGCAGAATTTTTCCACTCTCGTATGTTGTAGTGTGATAGATGATATAGCCTTTGTCAATAAAGTGGATATAAAATGCAAAAAAAACCAATAGGACAAACAAGCAGACTCTTCAAGTTTATATATTAGTATAGTATAGATGTACATCTATATATGCTTTTGGTTATGTAAGTTGTATAGTTTTATCGCTTATTATTACAGTCATTATTTTTAAAATATTAAGTAATATCGAAAATAAGTACCTATTCATTTAATTATAATATGAATTGTTATGGCAATAATTTTGTAAAAAAATATTATTTATAAATTCCATTTATATTTGTAATACTTAGTTGATGGCAACTCTCATATTCTTATATAATATACCACAAATATCACGAAGACATTAGTAAGATTATATGAACAACGGTCGATATAGTATCTAAAAAAAGTAAAAAGTAAGTTATTTTTCTAATTTAAAAGATCAAAGACTAATTATTGTTAATTTCAAATAAGACTTCATTAAATAATACATAATTTGTTATAGATTTACTAATAATAATAGATTTTTTGACTTTTACATCGACTCACTCGTGAAAATAATGATCGAATAAAAAAAAAAAGTTAATCAAGAACGATCATAATATTTCTTGGGTGGAAGTTTTAAATTAAGGTCCATGTTTTATAATCAGCTTTATTTTATTTTAAGTTTTACAAACAGACGACGTGGTTTTAAATCAGAGATTTTTATAAAGGGAGAGAATCAAATATTTGCAACAGATTATAAAGATAATATAAGCTACGTATTGTCTACATATAAACGTCAAAGACAATATTATAACTACCAATAATATTGACAACTTTAATAGTTATGAAGTAATTAGATATACATAATTCGAATACTTTTGTTTTTTTTAATACTGCTGTTTTTAATATTTTTTTTTAATCTGTTGACCCACGTGGCCTTGATCGTTCGTTCGTTCGTGTGTAATGCTTTCGGTATCGGCACATCGTCAAAGCAGCGCCAAATATTACTCACTATACTAATGTATATTGATGAACATATTTTAAGGAACGCAATGTAAAATATATAATCGGGTCACGTTTGCCGTTTTTTTTACCGGTGTCAACTAAACCGCAGTATGCGATTTGAATATAATTTTACACTAGATAGTCATCGGTCAAGGAAAATTGTCGGTCATTGTTGGGTACACACTTTCGCTTAAAATAATTATTATATTTTCACTGGTTTATCCATCAGACCACGACAGATAACTGTTATGAGTTTCTGTCCATTTTCTAAAAATCTAAAGATAGGATGCTGCGAATAGCTAACGTTTAATTTATATGGCCAATACATATGTTATGCTAGCAAGTCACCCTCGCTCGTTCGGGTTCATGAAAAATAAAAACTAATTATACCATAGAATCGTACATTTTCCGTAATAAACAGTAACCTATGTGCTTAATTCCAGACCATAATACTCGTATATCTCTGTGCCAAATTTCATCTAGATCGGTTCAGCTGTTCTGGCGTGATTGAGTAACAAATATCAATCGAAACTTTCGCATTTATAATCTATACTAATATAATAAAGAGGTAAAGTTTGTGAATTGTGAGTTTGTGACGTTGTAGAGGGTAATCTCTGGATCCGAACCGATTTAGATGAAATTTGGTAAGAAGATAGTTTGAGAGCCTGGGAAGGACATAAAAGGACATACATTTTTATCCTGGAGATCATCCCTTAAGGGGGTGAAAATGGGAATGAAAGTTTGTATGGGGAATAAACCTAGGGACGAACCCGAGCGAAGCGAGTCGCTAGTATTATATTAATTAATAATGGTATTAATGGATGTACATATATTTATTTGTTCAAAACGAGAATCAAACTTGCGATATAGAGTACTAGAATTTATATTATAGTCACAATGTTATAATAAAAGTAGAGTAAGGAAACAACGTTGGCAAATCGCAAGGCTTTCGGCGATGAAAAATACATCGATCGCATTTTCAAATGTGACATAATGCGCATTTCTATATGAATTCACTTACATACGGCTAGATTCCAGGTCTATAGTTTGACTTTGTACCAATACCCTGAACAGTCAGCGTTGAATATTTTCTTTATTCTACTTTAGTGCCCTGCTTAATGGTCGAAATGTTTATTTTATTGATAACACTAACGCTTGCTAAAAACGGTTGACAAACAGAAGAGAAAAAGGTACTAACTTGTTTTGTCTTTGCCTATTTTATATATATATATATATATATATATATATATATATATATATATATAGACTATATTATGCCTTACAAATACGTAGAACGTGAATAATTCAATTTTTTATTATGTGTGGTTTTAGGCGTGCCAGTTGGGCACAGATTACTTCGCTAACGTCATATAGTGCCAACTTTTTCACGATATTAAATTTGTATCACTTTTATAGAAAGTTGTTGTGTTGCAAAAGGTTGTCTGTCTGTTTGTCTCTTTGTTATGTTTTTATGATTGAAAATCCAGATTTTCCACTAGATTACGGATAGATTTTTTTTACATTTGCTAATCAATACATTTTAAATTAAAAATTTCCATATTTTATTACATAATATAACAAACAATCAATTTAAATGACATCAGATTATATATTTTTTTTCTAGTCACAATTTCATATGTAGCTTTCTGCTTTCTATTCATAGTAGGTTCTTAAATAAACTAGTAGTCTATGTAATGTGCTTCGGAAGCATTTCAACGAGAAGCAATTGATATAATCACAGTGCCGGCTGTAATGCGGTAATATTGTCGTTATGACATGGGAAATAGCTAGAAAATTAATCGGCTATTATTATTTTTAAATAAAACTATCTTTTCGGATTATCGAAATAATCCGAAAAGATAGTTTTATTGCCAGTGGTCGCGGGTTCGAGTCCCGCTGGGGGCATTCATTTGTGTGATGAGCACGAATGCTTGTGCTCCAGTCATGGGTGTTTATATTTATAATATGTATATATTCAAAGTTATATATGTGTAGTGTATTAACTATCTGGTATCCATAACACAAGCCTTGTAGCTTACCATGGAACTTTGTGGTGCTGTGTGTTAATGTCCCAATATATTTATTTATTTTTTCACTTGAGCGAAAATGGCCTCCCGAAATCGCAACACATTTTTGTATACCTAATACTACTTTTTGCCCGCGGCTTCGCTCAAGTAGGTACCTTTAGATCCGATACGATTCCAGTATGCAATCCATCTCGCCTTTAATCGAAATCTGTTCAGCGGCATATGCGTGGAAAAGTAACAGATCGAGTTACTTTCACGGTTATATGGATAGTAGTATGGATCTTTCTTCTGGAGTTCTGTAATTCTTTTATTTACAATAGATACCCTCCGACACCTACAGTTTTGCTATAATTATGCCTCGATTGATAATAATGGACTGCGTGTTGTAATTTTATCTCCTGTTTTTATTTTATTTTTATCAGAATTACTGTTTTATATATATTTATTTACTATTTTCATATAAAATATAAGTATAATTAAAAATTTAAATGTAACTTTCTAGTAAAACAAAACGCGTGGTCATAAAAACTACTTTTTAGGGTTCCGCAGCCATTAGATTAAACTTTTTGGTGAACTTGTATAGCAGGTTTTGAGCATGATAAAGAAGTAAAACTGACAAAAGCATATAATTATATATTGATTATATTATTTCAGGACGGTATGCACCATCCAGAGGTGACGATGATGATAGATATAGACGGACAGGAGCATGTTTTGGATCTGCGGCTCAATACTGACCTCGTGGCCGGAGACCACGTCATCAGCTATCAAAAAGATGGTGAGACGGTTCTTCATAAACCTACGAAAGAGGTGGGTTTCGTTTGGTCATTACATATTCATACTTACACGTACACAGTATTTAAATAGAAAAGTATGTTTGTCAACTCAATTTTTTTTCTACGAACTGAGTTTTTTTTTGTAGAGAATGTGGACTAAGGAGATACACACTCTTTATCTCTATGTATTTTTGTTTTCGTTTAATTATACGTTAAAAAAGATTAACATAGGCTTAAATCAAAAGCAATAAAGATTATATTAAAAAAAATCACCTTTATTTAAATCACACGCATATTCCCTATTATGATTGTAGGTATAGTTACTTTTTCTGGGTAGAATTGCTACTTTTACTAAATTTTACATAAATTCGCTAATAAGATTTTTGTATACAATGAATATTTTTGCATTGAACACTGTCGTGTGATATTGCTAACCACTAGTCTTCGTAGTCCTTTTCTCTACCTTTCTCTTCTTAACATCTCTAGAAGAAGATGGACTTACTAAAATTACATAAAATCTTCTTTTATTGAATAACTAGCATTGCCCGCGGCTCTGCAAGCGTTCGAACGACAATAAACCGATCCGTTGATCCGATCGCTGCCAAACTTCACAGAATCACCCGCTGGGCTAATCTGAAGATTGCCTGAAAATTTTGGAATCTATAGGGAACATACATACACACATCGATTTTTATATATATTGATATTTTTAATAACCCTCGAAGAACATGTTCTTAGTGCAAGTGCATCATTTTTTTTTCATTTACTGGATTCTCTTCCAGGAGCTAGATATCTGCCAGTACTCGGGAACGGTGAGAGACAGGAAGGGCTCGTGGGCGGCGCTGTCGACGTGTCACGGGGTTAGAGGCATCATACACGATGGGAAGCAAATGAGATATATTGAACCGGCGGAAGGTATGATATTTATTATATATTTATTTCTATTTGGTTTTACATGTTATTGTTTCCTTTTAAATGTCACTTGTCAGTGAATAAAAAAGATCTTTTGTGCTGGAATTTTATGAGCATTCGGCTTATGATATTTTTATGATACTATGCATTTCAGTTTAAATTTTAATAATTCTTCTTTCCAAAATTGTCAAAAATCATCACATAGCAATTGTTTGACGATGGAGGTTTGTATAAGAAATGAAGTTAATTTACAAGTTACCATTAAACTTATAAAATAGAGGCTTAGGTATATTACGATAAAACTGAAGAGTTTGATATTTTTGGTCTAACGTGCTAATGACCATAAATACCTGTCAGATTAAAAAATATATATGTTTTTCTCATTTTATAACCTTTTTATTGAGGAAAGTTTAAAATAATTTTATATCACGCTGCGTACTTCAGAAGTAAGTAGCGTTATTATACAAAAATAAACTACGTGAACGAAGCCTCGTACAAAAGCTAGTTAATTATAATACTAAAATATGTACTGTATATTATTTATTTGATTAAATATGTTATAATTTCTTTTTCAGATAATAAAATAGATGCAAAACATTATATTTACGACCATTCTGATTTAAATACCGACTTCCATTGTGGGTACGTTGGGGGAGTCACAAATAATACAGCGTATGACCCGGATCTCATGAAGAAATATAAAGCAGAGAAGAATAGAGAAAAAAGTAGAATAAGTCGGGTATGGTAATAAATTTTATTGCTAAGTTATTTTTTTTATGTAGGTCTTTATGTACAATGTACAATTTTAGGTATTTTTGAAGTGAAATTTCCTTAGTATCGTTGTGATTTGAAACTCGATGAAACGAAAATGCGACACTAAAAAGACTCATGCCCGATTTCACCAACAACCCATAAGCTACCACCTACGTATGGGATCCCTAGCTTAAAAGTCCCCTAAACTAGCCCCTAAATTAAATTTCGTTTTACGCCCATATTTCGAGCACCTAAATTTAGGGGGCCTTTTAATATTTAGGTGACCCCTAACTGTCGGTGAAACAGAAACTGTCCCCTAACTGCCCCCTAACCATGCTTAGGGGATCCCTTAAACTTAGGTGACGTTGGTGAAATCCCGATTTCACCAACGTCACCTAAGTTTAAACATCTAAATATTATAGAATTAAGCCGACGAGAGAATTAGATAGTATACATTGCCGTGTTGCCATGGTAACTGTTGTTATTTTCTGACAAATATATAATATTATATTCTTTCCGTATATGATATTCTATAAATATATGATTGTAATATGCCTTATTTAATTATTGATTTGTTTTAATTTAATTGTGATATTTGCCAAAGAAGTTTTACTAAAGGTTACACGCACCCATTTTTTTCTTACTTTTTCTCCTGTAATAGAAAAAAAATATATTTATTATATACATAAGTACTTAATACTTACTTAGATTTACGCGAATATTTGACATAAAATGAAACTTGAAAATTTAAATTTTGTCGCTGTTATAATATATAATATAAAAACGCGACAAAATCCGAAAAGATAGTTTCATTTAAAAATACATAAGTACTTTATTATATAAACACCTGTCAAAATGCATGTAATATAATCTCTTAAAAACTTGTAATGCTATGTAAAAGATTTGATATTTAAAATATAACTAATTTCGTGTGTAAACAATTCACTGCACGCGTTTATTGCTTTTTTTTTGTTTTTTATTAAACAAATCAACCAATTGATTCTTGTTAGATAGTTAATTGCTTATGCTATACAATTATTTATTAAATTATTGTATTATTTTTATACAAAAAAAATTCGAAACCAAAACATCAATTAATTTTTTTTTTTAAATGGCTGTATATTTTAAATGTTTACAATATCATGTTATTGTCATGCTTAAATCTCAACGTTTATAAGCGAGTGTTCTTGAACTTATCCACACTGCCGTTTAGGTCAACGAATTTCAGCGAAATTCAAAATGGCTCGTATATATATATTATATAACTTATATCTTAGAGACATAAGCTGCACATATCTACTAAATATAAATGATACTAAATAAAAATAAAGATAAAATTGTAATAACTTTTGTGATTCCTACAAATTATCTCTATTTTCAGTACAAACGAGATGCGTATGACGAAACGGAATTACGGGGTCCCTTCAATGCGAACAAACTATCTCGCTACGTAGAGTTAGTTCTTGTAGCGGATAACCGCGAGTATAGAACCAACGGGGAGAGCATCGCGACTGTACACAGGCAACTCAAAGATGTGGCGAATATCATCAACTCGGTATGTTTTGTGATGTTTTGTTTGGTTTATTTCATTTTTGTATGTAAATGTAATGTTCTTTTTTTACTGATTTCAATGGATTGATATGCAATTTAGGTGTTTTTGATTAATTTTGAAACGATTTTAAATGTTACTTTTTATAAAGAATTAGCGACTAACTTTCGCTTCGCTCGGGTGCATTCCTAGGAAGGTTTAAAACCTACCACAAAAAAAATCGTTATCGTGAGTGTTTTTATTTAGATTAGTTATCATACACACTTTTAAGCATAATTTTACCCCCTGTAAATTGGATGCGTTCCCGTACTTGGACTCACATTTAGTCCGTTGTACGTTTTACCCCCTAATAATAAAATACCCCATAATTTTACCCCCTCCGAGATTTATTTTCGAAACAATATCCTTCTCCGAGGTCTCATCTATCTCCATATCAAAAGTCATCAATATTAGTTCTGCGGTTTAAACGTGAAAACGTAACAGACAGAGTTACTTTTGCAATTGTAATATTAGTCTAGAATCTAGATGAATGAATAATTTAAATTAAATGGTTATTGCACGTTTGTGAACTATCATTGGCTTTAAATATATGGATGGATGGTTTGTGCTGAGATTGCTCGACAATTGCTCTTTAAAAAATGTATAACAATGTGATGTAATAAAATAATGTGATACCTATCCAAAGTTGCAACTAGAATTGAAAGAAAATGTCAAATTATTAATATATTTTGTCCTTTTTAGGTATATGCACCATTGAATATTTTCATAGCCCTCGTCGGTGTGGTTGTATGGAGTGAAAGAGACGAAATACAATTAGAGGAGGACGGCGATAAAACACTCACACATTTCCTTCATTACAGGCGGAATAGACTTGTACATGACATTCCCAATGACAATGCACACTTGTTGACGTAAGTCTTATAGTTATTCATAATATTTTGATAATTTGATATCATTTTTTTAAATGTAAATCTTGTTCATTTTGTTCAAAGAAAATCGATTTTATGGCAGTTAATAAAAAAATACATAACTTAAGATACAAATATTTGTATGTATTGTATTCAGCCCTTTTTAACGTCCCACTGCCGGGCACGGGCCTTCCTTCAGTGCGAGGGGAATCAGGCCATTTTTTTTTAAATGTTGGAAATGATTCGCACATGAAAATATCAGAGGTGCGAGACCCGGGATTTGAACCCACTTCACTCGGTTTCCCAAGTGAGCGCGTTACCACTGGACTACCACTGCCTTATATATTATTTAATACAAATATATTTTTTTATAATAAAAATTAATAGTATTTGTAAAAATTACTCAATTTTTTACCTAGTAAATATAAAAATTCATAGTATTATTATTCCTATATAGTATTACTTATATCGCTTTTTTTACAGACGTCAAAAATTTGACCATGGCGTCGTAGGGAAAGCTCTCAAAGGACCAATATGTACGTATCAGTTCTCTGGGGGAGTGGCGACCAACCATTCAGAAGTCATAGGGCTGGTGGCGACAACTATAGCCCACGAAATGGGTCACAATTTCGGAATGGAACACGACACAGAGGCAGACTGCCAATGTCCAGATGAAAAATGTATAATGAGTCCTTCGAGTACTTCAGTAACTCCCACACATTGGTCCTCTTGTAGCTTACGATCGTTGGCTTTGTCTTTTGAAAAGGGAATGGATTATTGTTTAAGGTAATTATATTTTGGCGCCCAATGTGGGGCTCTTTAGTGCTATGCAGATTTTTATTTATTTTTTTCACCATAAAACATACGATTATTATGTTAAAATCGTAACGGAACATTACGTATGAAGATATTAGAGGTGAGACTCGAGGTTTGAACCCACTTCGCTTGGTTTTTCAAGATAACAAGTTACCACTGAGCTATCACTACCAACAACAACATGAAAATTTAAATCGAAAAACATGAGATTATATTGAGTAGATTACAGGGGAGGTGATTTATATTAAAAGCGATTTTTTTTTACTTCATTATAAGTAATCTGATTACTATTACAATGTAAATGTTTATTTGTATGTACGTTTGTTAAATCTACAACCTAAAACGGTTGGATTGATTTTATGAAAATTAGAACAGGTATATATTATCAACTGGAGTAACATATAGTTAAGTGTAGGTCGTTAGTAATAAAATAATGTTTGACGACGCGTTTGGGTCAGTTTGTAGTGACCCTACTTGCTGTGCCAGCAGTCGCGGGTTCGAGTCCCGCTGGGGCATTCATCTGTGTGATGAGCACGAATGTTTGTACTCCAGTCATGGGTGTTTATATTTATAATATGTATGTATTTAAAGTTATATAATAGGTGTAGTGTACCAATTATGTGGTATCCATAACACAAGCCTTGTAGCTTACTATGGAACAAGATGGTGATGTGTGTTTATGTCCCAACATATTTATTTATTCAATGCTCATAGAACCATTTTTATCCAGAAACAAACCGAAGCGTCTATTCAACTCGCCTACATGTGGCAACGGGTTCATCGAGCCCGGCGAGCAGTGCGACTGCGGCCTCAACGGCAGCCCGGCGTGCTTGGCGTGTTGTCATCCCAAGGCGTGCGTGTTGCGGGCTAACGCCACGTGTGCTGTGGGGGAGTGCTGCGATCCTCAGGTGAGAGGGAGAGAGAGGAGAGAGAGAGGGGGAGAGGGAGAGAGAGAGGGGGAGAGGGAGAGAGAGAGAAGGAATAAAAGAGTGTAAAACAATACATTCTATTTTAATATGACTACGCTTATTGTCGACTAGCGGATCACCCTCGACTCGTTCGGGTTCGTCCCTAGGTACGTTTAATTTTTAGAGCGGAACGCTAATTCTTTTTCTAAAATAAAAGTAACCTATGTTACTCCCTATAACATCAGCTATCTTTCAGTGAGAGTCCCGTCAAAATCAGTCCAACCGTTTCAGAGATTATCCGGAAGAAACAGATAGACAAAAAAATAAAAATAGTAATTTTCTTATAAGTACCGTATATAATATCATATGCATTTAGTTAAAAGCTTTTATTTTTACATTACAAACAGACATTTCAATTTTATTTATCTGTATAAATAAACATCCATGAGTGGAGTACAAACGTTCGTGCCCATCACACAAATGAATGCCCGAGCGGGACTCGAACCCGCGACAGCTGGCACAGCAAGTAGGGTTACTGCAAACTGAGCCAAACGTGTCGTCAATGTTCTATAATTAATATCTGATGCAGTTGGCTAGTCTTAAAGAGATTTGCCGCCGTGGCCGATATCGTTCAGGAGGACATAATTATGCATTATAGTAAAAATCAAATAATATATATTGAATTTTATAAAACCATTTAATAGCTTCAATATCGCTCTAACAGTATATTCTATTTTTTTTCTTATTTTTTTTAGACATGTCGTCCAAAATCAGCGGGTACCGTCTGTCGGTCGGCCGATAAGGAATGCGATTTGCCCGAATATTGTAGCGGCTATTCCGAGTTTTGTCCAAAAGATGTTTTCAAAATGGACGCCACGCCGTGTGCTAATAACGAGGTAAATTTGATTGAAAAAAATCCTGACAAAGTTTCGCATTTATAATACATACTCGTATTAGTCGGATATATTGTGAAGTGTCAAAGCGTTAATTACTTTATAGGCTGTAGGTATAAGATAATAAGGTAGAATTGCATGTTTTGCAAGACCCCAATGTATCAATAAAAGATGGAGAACAGTTTGAAATTTCACAAAACTCCGGGAAATTATAATTTAACCAGTGAACTTATTATTTCACGGCTTTTACAGTGTCCCCGCGACATATTCATATAACCATTATGTGTTGTTGCAATATATAATAAACAAATAATATAAATAACAAGGGGTTATTGTATATTTACATATATACAATTTGTCAAATGTCTATCATTCTATCTATACATTTTTAATATGTTTGTTTTTGCCTTATGGTTGTCTATTTTATTTCCAGGCGTATTGCGTGAAAGGCTCATGTCGCACTCACACAGACCAATGTCGACTCTTATGGGGATCGACAGGGGAAATGTCAGATATAAGATGCTACTTATCCTCTAATTTGAAAGGAGATCCGTGAGTATTATTATATATTTCTCATATATTTATCCTTTTTAGTGTTTCGTAAAATACTAGCGACTCCCCCCCCGCTCCACTCGGGTTTATCTCTAAGTACGTTTTATTGATTAGTATAGATTTTTCAGAGATGAGATATTTTTCCGCAGTAAAAAAAGTATCCTATATGTTGACCCGGATAACCAGCTATCATCATACCAAATTTCATCATAATCTGTCCAGTGGTTTTCTCATGATGTGTTTCCAGACAGACGGACAAAAATTCTAAAAAGTAGATTCGGCCTCTGTATCGATAATAATGACTATTCCAATGAGATTTCCCAAAAAATACTTATTTAATGTAAAGATTCGATTCGGTTATATTTTTATTATATGTATAGTTTTAAGATAGATTATGTTTATGACATTACATAGTTACCTTCGCAATAAAGACATTAGTTTATGAATACTTCGTTATTTTGTTTTTAAAGGATTATACTACTTAATGATTTTATATATTTTCTTTAAAGTCAAGTCATTTTTAAAACGTTTGAGCTTAGACGTAAGTTAGAGTAGTCTGGCACTATCTGTTAATTTCTGTGGTTTCTCTTTTCTATATAAATTTTACATAACGTAATTTGTACAAATTTGTATCGATAGATAAGCTATTGAAATATCAGTCAGTAGTGAGTCAATCAGTCAGTTTTAAATATTGTATTTCAGTAACGGTAATTGTGGATATCAAAGAGGAGACCAGCCGTTATTCTACAAATGTGCAAAAGAAAACGCTCTATGCGGACTGTTGCAATGTAAGCATTTGAATGAACGCCTCGAGTTCGGGATGGAATCCGTGTCTACATTGAAAGCTGTGTTTATTAATAATAATGGTTAGTTATTTTTGGTTTTCTTAATTAAATTTTGTGACTCGTCGGTTTTGTGGTTAGCAAGGCAGCAGATCTGAAGATCCTGGCCTCGATTTCCAGATGGTCCAAATAGGTATTGGGTTTTTTCTTAATAACAGCTCAAAGTTAAGAAGCTTTGGGTTCTACAAGTTTGTATGGGTAATCAATCATTTTTCAATTAAGCGATATATAATAAAAAATAAATAAATTTATTCGCAGGGACCATATTAACTTGTCGTACGGCGATGATAGACTTGGGTCTGTCTGATGTGGACCCGGGCATGGTGCCGGATGGTGCCAAATGTGGGGAGGATAGGGTGAGTTGTTATAGAATACTAATTTACCTTTATTTAATATTAATTTTTTTTTATAATTAGATTAAATGTTTAAAGATATTCATATGGGTATATACAATTGGAGATTCGGGTATACATGTATAAAGATTTTTGATAATATTTAGTGATAGGGAGTGTATTAAAAACAAAACTTTAAATTTTATCATTATCGCTTTTAAGATATAAATACATACAAAAGATTCTTATAATTAATGTTGATAGCGATATATATTTTTATAATTTACGATGTTGGGTGAGGTCTCAACAGTTTGATATACATTTAATTTAATAATAATATCTTTAGCTATAATTAAATATTTCAATTTAATTCATATCTGTGTTTATGTTTACAAGAAAAGACAATACAATTATATTACTAATATACTTAATAAAAACATATACTAAAAATGTACACTTATTTTTTTATGCACAAGCATTGATATAAAAACATAGACACATATTTCCTAACAAGTATCTCTTCGTCGACATGTCACGTTAAGTCAAACCAAAGATTAAAATTCAAAAATCGAAAGTTCTAATTGTCTAAACACAAATTCGAACTTACGCACACTACATAAGGTACTTTTTTAAACGAAACAACGTGCGTTTTAATTTTATTATCCTTTTAAAAGCAATGAACAAAAGAGATTTAAAGAAAGAGCACAATTTCCAATTAGTGCGCTTTTTTATGAGGACACTTTTGAGATGCTAAATGTGTATCCCAAGTTTTTTGTATATCAATGTTTACAAGCCATTTAACTTAATGTTTTTGTTTGAACAGATGTGCCTAAACCAAAAGTGTATATCAGTAGCGGCTCTACAGGAACAGATCGCGAGACGCGACACGTCCGTCTGTCCCTCCAACTGCTCGGGACACGGTGTTTGTAATTCTGAAGGTAATGTACCATATAAATAAAAAGCACCATCTAGTTCCATATTATAAATATAAACACTCATGACTGGAGTACAAACATTCGTGCTCATCACATAAGTGAATGGGCATTCATCCAGCGGGGTTCGAACCCACGATCGCTGGCACAGCAAGTAGGGTCACTATAAATGGAGCCAAACGTGTCGTCAATATAATATAGAACACGATTTTTTTCTATTTGGACGAGAATTTTATTTATTAATATTCGATAGTTAAAGAAAAAGTGGAAAATAAAACAATTAAAATACTATGGAATCGTCAACTAAACGTAAAGAATAATACTAAGGCTTACAATGGAGTAACGATAGCGTGCGTACGATTGTCATACACTTTTAATATGACAGTCTGGACGACTCGTCGAACGGTTTAGCTTTAACGTCTAAACCGTTCGCTGTAAAAACATTTTTTTGACAATACTTTACAATAACCTACTGTATGGTTTTTTATACTGTGGTTACGTATACATAGTAATTTTTTATTTAAACTTAAACAAAGATGAAAAGGGAAATTAAACACATTTTTATATTTTTTTCATTTCCAAATACGTATTGGTTTCTATGTGGCTTTTGTCGCTTTTAATGAGATCCTATTGGAGTTTTTAAATAGGGTTGATGAATTCGTTAAATTATTTGGATTCTCAGGCTCATAAACCGTTCATCATGACACAATTAATACAATATTTGTAGGTCATTGTCACTGCGAGGCCGGCTTCGCGCCGCCGCTGTGCGCGCTGCCCGGCCCCGGGGGCTCCATCGATTCCGGTCCCGCCACGGACTCCAGTAGTAAGTATACTACTTATAATAATAAGAATAATTATATTATATGGCACAATAATATGGCACGTTTTCAGTGGCGTAGCTACCTTGGGTGGCACCCGGTGCGGAAGTTGGTGGTGTCACCCCATCGAAAGTAACAAGCAATAAATTTTATATCATAAAGGACATGGATCATTTAATATTTATAATATTGAAGAAATAACAAAACACAATAATAACTAAGACAAAAAAGGAATTGTTATACAATTAAAATTTCTTCTTTCTAGCTTTTTATTATCTATCACTATAGAATAATACACGTTTAACAATTCACGCCAACCAAACACAACACACTTCACGATACAAATGAGAAATGTTGCAACTGAGACGTCAAAGATCGCGCGTATGGGACGGGGAATCCCCCACGAGAGCGTCAGGCTTTTTTTGCGGGAATCCCCGAATTATACTTAGAGCTGAGCTAGTGCTAGTGGAGGAATCCCCGTAAAAGAAATTTTTGTGCTAGCGATTTTTTTTGTTTGTACATTATTTTTAAAGTTTAGAGACCGGGTGGGTGTCACCCCAAAAAAGGTGACACCCGGTGCGGACCGCCCCCTTTGCTACGCCACTGCACGTTTTCCAACAACAACATGGTCACGGTATTTTGACTTTCAAGCCACGCTACCAAAAAACAAAATAAACTGCGAATAAATCTAAAAATGGTTAATTGGTCTTATTTAAAATATCAATTATTAGCGTACATCTAAGGAAATATTAATAAAATACTACTAAGTATTTTGCTTTAATTCAATTCAATTTTCTTTTTAATGGCTTATTTTTCTTTATTTACAGTACAAAGGAATTTCATGGTGGCGATGTATGTCATATTCCTCGGCATCCTACCGTCGATACTTCTCATCCTGTTCCTCATGTACTATTCGCGACACAACGTACTCGTGTGGTGGAAGAAACCAAGGAAAACGTACGTATCCAAATTATTCGAAAGTGGTGCGGGGAATAACACGTCATCCACAAAAACACCAAAAAGCTATTTTAATTTCATTCTACCCACATTTTCTAGCTCTTCTTCCTTTATTAGATTACTAACATTCAAACGTAAGGATACAAAAGAACCTACGGCTATATGCAAAAAATGCATACGAGAGCCCAATAAAAATGAAAATATTTACGCGAATGCATGCGACCATGAACCAGACTATGAGAGTATAAAAAGTAATTCAGATTTAAAAAGTAAAGCGTGGCATCAAAAAATAACAAAATTTCTAAACAAAAATGAAAGCAAACGCGAAGTTAAAAGATTTCATAGAAAAATAAATAAAGATGACATCAAAGTTGCGGATACAAATGAATTGATCGATGTTAAAAATATACGAAATAAACTCGAAGAGTCTGATGGCAGGAAGAAATTGAACGTAGAAATAATTAATACAGGCTTAGCGTCCACTACTAACGAAAACATTAATCGTAGTGATATAAAAACTATACGAAATAACGTAGTAGTTACAAAAAATGATAAAAATAACGCCTCTAATGTAAACGTTAAGACTGATAATAATCGTTTTAAAAAAGATAATATATTCAATGCAGGTTTATCATCTACGAGTAACGTCAATATTGCCAAAAACGATGAAACTAAAGAAAAAGTGGAAATTAAATCTAATGTCAAATTTTTGACAAGTAAATTCGGTCAGCCGGCTATTGATTTTTCTAATTTACCAAAACGAAGTGATTTGAGGAACGTTAAAAATAAAAAATAATAAATTACAAATTTTTACAGAAAATTACTATAAATAACACAACATACTATAAATAAAGCCTTTTTCATTGAGTAAAGTCGATTTTCAGTAACTTATTGTGATATAATCTCTAGAAAACATTTAATGAAAATATTTTCCCGTAGTAAAAAGTATCCTATATGTTGACCTGGATAATCAGCTATCATCATACCAAATTTCACCAAAATGCCTCCAGAGGTGTTTCCGTGATGAAATCATTATCAAAAGTAGAGTATCTAGTTAGAGTATAAAATTATAAGAAGTTTGATGGACACACTAATAAAATCTTAAAAAACGTTTTTTTTACAATAATAATAGTAGTCACGGTCAAGGTTTTATTTTTAATTAGATTTAAAAAATATATAATAATAAAATTAATTATAATTTTTTATTTGTTTATAGACTATATTACAAACACAGAAATAAAGGCGATTTAAAAAGTACATATCTAAAATTAGAATTTGTAAAACGTTAAGATTTTTGATGCTACTCTTGTTTTTAGTATTCTGTGACATTCTTAAGTTAAACAATTTGGATGTTGACAATAATTGTGACATTTAAAAATAATGACGCGAAGGAAATCTATGAGATGTGGGTTTGAAAATGAAATAATTTATATTTCTAATTTAAATTATTTTTAGTTTTTTTTTATTAATAATTAAAATATTAAGTATATTATTAAAAACTGTAAATAAATTTAGCGTATGCGTTTTCCTTTTAAGGGAAGCTATCTGATGTACCAATAATTTCGATTTTAATGACTCGATATTCAATAAAAAATTATTAATAGCACAAAATTCTCTGAAAGTCAGTATTTGTAGAATATTGTTTTAGTTTAATTTATTTTAATGCACATAATTTAATTGCTAGATATAGGAAGTATTTCGATCAAAACATGTATTGTGTAGACATAACTAATAAATTTAAGTTTAAACCTAACTCCCTTATAATTTTCATGTGTGGTTTTTGCATGCGTATAATTAAGTTATTTTTAATTAAAATAATTTTAAATTACAATGCAATTCAATTAAAATGTATATAAATGGATTAGCTTTCAGTTCTAGTTCTAAAAAACGAAAAATGCTAAACGCAGAAATATTAAGATTTTTTTTATTTAAATTATCTATAATCTATAGATAGATTTTAATTTTAATTTTAAATAAAAAATGTTCATCAATAAAAATTAAGTAGGAAATTTGCGATTTTTCACAAAAGACCGTTTGTATTTTTATTTATGTACATTAGATAAAAACTTTCTAAAATGTTCTCTATTCTTATTAGGATTTGGATGGCATTGTAATGATGTTAGATAGAAAATTACTTAGTTTGCTTGAAAAATTATTTGTATAGGTTTTTAAATGGTTATATGGTAATTGGTATGCTATTAAAAGACACACAAAACATAAATAAAAATAACGTGCTCAATATTTTTTTAATTCATTTTTAAGGGTCTTGTCTTACCTTCTTACATTGACTTTTAAATATACCCATAAATTGGCTTTAATGCTACAAATATATTTTATTATTAAATTTTTGAACGTACTCTGCAAATTAATATATTAGCTTATGTAAAATTTCTTTTTTTTTGTTACTCAGTTAAATCATTATCGTTATTTTTATTTTTTGGTTATGTATTCATTTTTCTTTCTCTCTATCACCCTCTCTCTTTCTCTCTCTCTTTGTGTGTGTGTATGTATGTAACTTTATAAAGTTGATAATTTGTATTAATTTGGTAAAAGTAATAAATTTTCTTTTTTTTTCTTTTTCTAATGTTTTCTTCCTAATATGGTTTGTATGTTGATTGGAGCTTTAGCACATTGTTATGTATTCGGTGAGTTGTTTTGGGTTTTCTGGGCTTTGCATGAATGTAAAATATTAACATTTTGCTATTTCTTTTCTATTTTTTTTATATCTATATGAATGCTTCCTAAACACGTTAATTTTAACTTTGCATGTGTCTTTTTTATAATGAAAATACAATTTTCATAATATTCATATATAAATAAAATTATTCTTTAAATAATTTTTTATGATTATTTGTAATTTCACTTTTTTTAATCGTCCTTTTTAATGCTACAGATCTATTTGGATATAGACAGGATTTATAATTTAAAAATAAAATATATTATATTTTGAATATTTATTTAATATAAATAATTCTTATACTTTCTTATATAACGTAATTATTATTTACAGGTCTCAATCACCGAAAAAGAACAGCTTACAACGCCGTATTTCAAAAAGTGCTAGCAAGTTTGCTGCTAATTTCCAAAATAACGCTCAAAACAATCCACAACCAGTTAATGTGCATACTCTTAGTAATCCCGATGACATGAGCTCAAGTCTGTTGAGAAGTGACTCTGATCATAGTCCAGCTGGGAATATAAATCCTTCTGTCAACTTCTTCGGCAATTTTAAAGGATTTTCTCTCACACCAATTGATAAAAATCAACCACAGACTACTAAAGAGGATAAAAAAGATGTGCCTAAAAGTGCCAAAATTACTCCAGTACATAGGAGCGGGAGTAATAGCCAAAACATTAGCCAATCTTTGAAACCAGTTCTTAGATCTGCTCCTCCATTACCAGTCGTACCAAATACAACGAAATCAAGTCCAAAATCTAGTCCGTCTATTAAAAGGACGAATAGCTCCGTCCAGAATAGAATAAAAGCATTAATGAGTTCTGATAAAGCTGAAGAAACTCCTGCAGTCAATCCTGCACCCAGACCGGTTATTTCCAGTCCGATTCTAGAAACTTCTACTTGCACTGCTAAAGAACTGATTTCGCCTCTTCAAGGGTCGAAAACTATGGGGCCCATGCGAGCAGCACCAACGGTTCCAAATTTCTCACCGGACTTACCAAAAAGACCTTTGAGTATGCACTCAAGTAATGCCCCACAAAAACCTCTACCCGAGGAACCCAAGAAAGTGAAAGAAGGAATTTCATTGAATAGAATAGCGTCGTTCTTGAAACAAGAGAAACCAAAAGAAAAAGAACGAAATCCAGTCGAAAGAAGTCACTCTCTACCCAAAAACGCGAACAATCAGATAAAAGTTACCAAAGTTGATAAAGTTGCGTTGAGAAACTTGCAAATATCCAATCCTATTTTACAAAAACAAATAGAACTACCAGTTAATACAGTCCCTGTGGTTTCCGATTCTGAAGACGCTGACGATCCAAAGGCTTTTGTGAACAGGGCTCAAAGCATGCGAGCTGCCATAGTGCAGAAACCAGCTATACAAAGCTTTGGTTCCATGAGACAAGCTCCGGGCACGCCTAGGCCTTTATCTTGTGTAGGGAGACCCACAGCTCCCCCTCCTCCTCTTCCCAATCAAACAAAACCTAACGATGAACAAATATCGATGTATCAAACACCCAAAATACAAGCTGAGATAAAGTCTACTGATTACGTAGATTGTATAGAAGAAAAACCGGTACCGCTAGCTCACATAGATGAGGAATCGAGCGACAACATTTATGCAATCATCGAGGAAAGTCCAGAAAAACCTTACAAACCCCTTCCCGGACATTTACCCCTAAAAACAGTTAAGACTCCCGCAGCAGAATATAACGTTCCTAAATCAATCCCATCCAATTCTGGAAGTACTGAAAGTATGGGATTACTTGGAGAAATCGTAAATGAAATACAGCATAGGCACTTTGATTCTATTTACTCTGCGTCCAGTTTCGCAAGAAAAAAAGAAAATGAAAAGAAAGACATGGACAGTAACAGAGATAGCACTTACATGAATACAGATTATAAAAGGCCCGATAGTGTATATGGAAATTCGGAACCGAAATCGTCGTCGTCGACCACTAGCAGCGGTTACTTACATCCATCTGCTGTGAATATACCTACGTATATGCAAAAACAAGATGAAAGTAAAGAAATTGAAAAGCCGCCATCGCCTACCATGAAAGTGAACTCGAAAATACCTACTTTTAGTAGGCAAGTGACGCCTCCGGGTCTACGAACGTCAACGTTCAAAACAGTCCCGCAGTCACCCAAGACGGTAAACAAAAGTACAGTCAAAACGATACCAAACAGCCCCGATTTAGTTTCTAGTTGCGCAGTAGCAGATTCTAAAAACGTTAAAGCCCCTGACGTTATAAATAATAATAAAACGGCAGAACCCCCAAAAATTCCGTCGAAACCTACGATCAAACAAGCGGATAACCGACCGCCCTTACGACCCGCCCCCTCAGTAGATAAAAAACCCGTAAAAAATACACCAGTACTAAAACCTGTAAACTCTTCGTCGAATATCAATAAAGACAAAAATCCGCCATTAAATAGAAATACGAAAACAGATTCTAACGTTAAAGTATTAGCGGACAGTTTAAATAAGAATAGACCAAAAGTGGTGCCAAAACCGAGCACGATATTGCAGAAGACTGACTCAACCACGAAACCGAATTTTACAAAACTGTCAACGAAACCGTCGAATGTTGCCAGTTTACAACAGAAATTCGAAAATAGAAAATCATTAGGGAAAGAAATTGCTGCAAAAAAATGAAATAGTTATCTTTTATAGTTATTATTTTATCGATTTGAATAAATTGGAACTATTTTTATTTCGTATTTATCTCATAGGCACAATAAATTATTTTACATAAATATTTATAAATTAGCAATAGTTTATAATAAATGTTTAATTGAAAATGAGATATGGCAACTCAAACAGATTTCATATTAAGACTTTTATAGTTAAAATTGATAGGCATCTAAATAATATTTTCATTATTAACTTTTCAATGCGTCGTTATAGCTAGAAAATGTATGCAAAAAGTAAATCTAGTCGATTATTTTTAAAATGGAACTCGATAATATAGTTAATTTAATAGTGTGAAAATTTCCATAGACTAAATTTTTTTTTGAATACATAAAACCATGTCAAAATAAGCATATATAATGATTTGTGAAACTGTAGGCACAGTATGAGAATACTTAATTGTGATAAGATTCTAAGTACATTTAACGTATTTTTGGCTTTGATTCACAATCGAAAGTACATAAAATAAAAGTATTCTAAGATTTAGTTATAAAATGAAGTGTTCATATTTTGATATGAGATGGCATTTTGACGGAAAGTAATTTAGTTTTTTTTAGTTTTATTTTGTATATATTAGTTATAATAATGATTAGACTCAAGTAAAAATAAAAACGTATAAAAGTAAGATGTAAATATTCTAGTTAAATCATGAAGTGTCTTAATCGTAAATAGAAGTTTCTTTGTATTTTTATAAATTGCAGGTTAAGAGTTTGTAAAATATCTAAATATGAAATTATTGTGTATTGTATATTATATAATATTGTATGAGAAAATAATCTAGATTCACATTATTCTTTTTTGATCTAGATTCACATTATAGTGTCGATTCTAGGTCAGACTCTGTCTAGAACAGACAAAACCATTCATAAATAAAAACCGTCATAACTTCTTTTTATTTATTTATTTTTGTATTTGAAAATTAATATCGAGTTTATTTTAAAATATATATTTATAATTGTTATATGGGATCGACGTATTTATGATATGAGATCTCAGTAAAAGTGATTGCGTATAAAATGGCGGTTCTCAATTATCTATCTGTGGTTTTTCTTACTAGCGATAAGAAAGACATAATTTGTATATAACTTATGTCAAACTAGCGACTTATCCTCGCTTCGCTCGAGTGCGTCCTTCGCTACGTTTTAATTTTTTTGAACGGAACCCTTATTCTTTTTCTAAAATAAAAATAGCCTAAGTTACACCTTATAACACTGGCTATTTGCCAGTGAAAGTTCCGCCAAAATCAGTCCAGCCGTTTCGGAGAATTGTGAAGAAAAGAAAATTGTATTTTTCTTAAAAGTACTACTGTATATCATTTCATATACATTTAAAAAAACGTTTTTATTTCAACACTACAAACAGACACTTTAATTTTATTTATCTGTATGTACCTTTAAGTAAGGAAAAATTTAGATAGATAGGTTGTTGAGAATTAAAGGTTTCGTTTTTTTTAATTCTGTTTATACATTACAATATAGTAAAATAAGCTTATTTTACCGAAAAATCTCCTTCGTGTTTTTCCATTCTACGTGACATTGGCGAAGTAATCTCTGCTCAACTGGTACGCTTTGATGCCATTAACAAGAGAATTGAATTGAAAACTATTTTTCATACTAAACTATTTTGATTAGTTTAAATATATATTTTAAATTTATAAATGTGTATTGTTTTTTATATGTAGACTTTTAATAAGATCTCAAATCAGAAGTTAATAATGTATTTCGCTATGGTGCTAGACTTAGTGTGCGTAGCTTACTTGTAACAAATCGTATGAGAGCATTATTGGTTTAAAAATAGTATATTCAAATAAATAAATATATTTATTATATTTTATTTATGTAAAATCAATGACAAATAATTCTTAATGCTTATATATGAGATGTGATGACAGTGTCTTATCTATTTTTCATTTCTGTAGTATCACATTAAAGATTTTGTAAAAACTTCTGCCTTAACTTTTATAAAATACATAGATTTATTTATTTTCCTCCATTATAATATAACCAATAATGCTCATTATCAATGCAATAAATATTAAATACATATATATAAAACAACGCTAAACGTCCATTTATCCACTGCCAGCTTGGTACAAATCTGTGGTGCTGATTGTCGCAAATGTATGAAGTGTGAGGAAACTATATATATATATAGCTTTCAGTGTAAAAGTGGCCCAACTCAAAAAAAATATTGGATAAAAAGAGATATTTTTATATTTTATTTAAAATCTCGCTAAATATATAATATAAAAATTTGACTTACAAATATTGCATTAATGAAATATTTTCATTTCAAATAGACAAGTTGGGCCGTTTTTTCACTGACGACATATCTATGTATTGATTTTTAAGGTGTATAATTTTTATTTTCATAATGACTTGATTTTCAGTAATAAATTCACTGTTTAATATATTTTTTTGAAAATATACTTCTTTTGGCACGTTTTGGAAAAAATATGAGAGCAAAAACACCGACAGCCAAAAAGCGACATGATGAAGTTAGCTGAAAGCGACATGGTGAAGTTAGCTGCATTCATTTTAAAACAGACAGTTGTGACATACGAGATGAAATCTTTAGCTATTTTTGTTCTGTTACGTCAAAGAAGTATAACTTCTTACGTGCGTTCATAAGTACATACGCATTTTTTTAATATTGTCATAATAAAGACACATTGTTTCAATTCGGCTATACTTAAGATGTTTGCCTTGTATATGTATAAGTTTATGATTTTTTCAGTAGTTAATCTTATAATTACACCTTTGATCGAAAATTACCTGTTAGCTTTTAATATAATGTAGATACTGTATTTATTTTTCTATAAAATAGTTTCAGGCTATTAGTAGCTTAAATTCAACAATATTCTGTAAAGTATTTACTATTTTCTTGTTTAAATTACATATTAAGTATTATTGGATTTTAAAATAAACAAAAAGGAAATAGTATAGATTTCGTTCATTTTTTTTATTGTATCTTAAGTCCACTAAAGGGCACAACCCTATTTAAAAACTCCAATAGAATCCCATCAAAAGCGACAAATGCCACATAGAAACCAATAAATATTTGTTGGTTTCTATGTGGCTTTTGTCGCTTTTGATGGGATTCTATTGGAGTTTTTCAACAGGGAAATAGATTCACCGCCTTGTTTGAAAGTCGAATCCATTACCAACCATTGACAACGAAAACTTTGAGTATTTGACTTGATAAGTCTATATATAAAAAATTGAAATTTCTGAATGTAATTACCAAATTTGATTTGATGCACGAGTTTTAATTTACATTTATTTTTTTGGTTGATTTGAATAATCACTTGGATTTGTTTGATGTTCAAGTTTAGCCTTAAATTATTTACTAGTGTAGAAGTGACATAACTTTTAAATCGAGAAATAAATGAAGTAGGTAAAGATGTGAAAATAATTTAAAATAACGAAAAAAACATTGTCTCATAACAAATATTCTAATTGTTTATTTTTTTTAAATATCTTAGTCACTTTTGCACTGACAGCCTCCAAGGTCCATATATATATATATATATATATATATACATATATATATACATATTTTTACATATTTGTAAAAACTTAATAAAAATGGAACTATATAATAGCCCCAAAAAGAACATAAATTGTAAAAATGTTTTATTAATACTTTCGAAATTTAGCTATCAAATTTGTATTTGTTAGCTATTAATTCAATAAAAATATCTTGTCTTTTTGTTTACATAATATAGCATTTTAAACAGGGCTTTCATTAGAAATGGCATCAATATTTGTGATGAGATAAGAGGTGAACTAAAAATTGTGACTAAATGTAAATATAACCAAAGAGTCTATTTAGAATTAAACCCACTGTTCACGAAAAACGGGGATAATGTATGATTTCTAATTTTTATTTTTTTAGCGAGACTGTCTTTTATTATTATTTAATTAGGTATATAAAAATAACGAGATCTAATTCATAGGGATATTTTTTAACGCTGAGAAATAAAAGTATAAGAAATAGGTGATTTAATTGATTATAGCTTGAATGAACTTTTATTTACGTATTAATAATAATAAATACACGTACAACATTTCTATTTTTTATTGACAATCTCTAGGTGTTGACCCCTTTTTTTCGGGAAATTTTCTTTTTATTATATCGGGATATTTATAACTCGTTGCTTCCTCATACAAACTTTCGTCCCCAGTTTCACCCCCTTAAGGGATGATTACCAAGATAAAAACTATCATATGTCCTTGACGTAGCTAGGGCCGACCTCGGCACCACACCCAATACAATAAATAATCCTATGTCCTTCCTAGGGTCTCAAACTATCTAATGTAATAATCATCAACTGATGCATTATATTTTACCCATTCTCTATTTGAAGATTAGACTAGAATTATTTAAAATGTGAAAAAATTCACGTGTGGAAATTTCATATTGTAACATACCTACTTAACTTGAAAATAACTGATTAATAAGTGATCTGAAAAATTATTTCATAACTTTTTTCTCTGTAAGAATTTAAAGTTTCAAATACTGTTATACTCAAGATCTTCAGTATTGTAGGGGGAAGCCTAATAAAGTTATCTATAACAATTGGCCACTCCCAAAAATCTAATCTATGTATACATATAATAAAATTCTAACTAGCTGAATCTGTATATTAAATATATTTGGAAAATCTTATATAAATAAACATTAGTATCGATACAGAGGCAGAATCTATAGTTTTTAGAATTTTTGTGTCTGCTACCGCATCACAGAAAAACCACTGGAGGGATTTTGATGAAATTTGGTATGATGATAGCTGGTTATCCGAGTCAACATATAGGATACTCTTTACGCGGGAAAATGTCTCATTTCTGAGATAAAATACAATAACTACAATGTAAGAGTATACTAATATGTAAAACCTAAGAATTTGGTTTTTGGTCATCTCAATGGGGGCGGAGCCATGGGCAATGCTAGTAAATTATAAAAATAAAACACAGTTTTGGCTTTAAATTATTTATGGGTCACAATACCAAAATTAAGTTGAATTTCTTAAAGTACGTACAAATATAAAAACATTGTTGCTTTTCATATTAAGAAGACAGTTTATATGTACCCATATATTAACTTAAAAACTCGAACACTTTTACAAGATACAATATAATTAATTTACTACTACAATGATTTATTTTCCAGCAGCAGTTGCAAGAGGATTTCTTAAAACTAAGATCACTGAATCTCCACGTAAAAACATCTTTGAGATAAATTTGTCTTTATTCACTGCTTTGCCCTGGAATTAAAATAATGAATTGTTATTTTTTTCACAAAGTATAATATGGAAAATGGTAATTAAAGCACAGTAACTGCATACATAAAAGATATAGGTTCTAGAGACTCATTCTCTCTGTTTGGGTTCGTCTCTAGTTTTCACAGCACACTCCAAATAATGACTTATAGGTGATTCTATAATACTTTAGGTTAGGTTATTGCCCCCCCCAACGTGCGTTCACCTTGTCGTGGTGGGGGGGCTCAGTAGTGCCCGGCAACCCAACCGGGCGCGAAGCCAAGAAACGCACAGGGAGGTTAGGCCCACCTCAGTGGGCGGTGGGAGGTGGCCCTCTTCGGAGGGCAGTGTACCATGCGGGTTGCTCCTGGTACTTCTCTGATAGCAGAGTGGACTGTGGAGCAACCCCGTGGTTGTTGTGGTCTGCTTCGGCAGACCTGCCGTCGGGGCGTCGTAGTTGAATGCGTAAGCGATCCTGCGATGCCCCATTAAGACGGGGGAAGGTTTCGTTGGGTTTTAGTGGGTAGTACTGGCTTTGCCGGTGAGTCCCACACCTCGTGCGTAAATGCATTTCCCAACGTTAAAAAAAAAAAAAAAAAAAAGGTTAGGTTATTGCAATTTTCAGAGACTTCTTAATTTTTTTTTAATATAATATGTCCCGTGTTACTCGCCGATAGAGTACCTTTTGATATGTAAAAGAATTTTTAAAATTAGTCTAGTAATTTTATAGTTTACCTATTACATTTTTACATATTACAAACATACAAAAAGTCTCTTTATAATATTAGTATATGTGTGCGCTATACTAATTATAGGAGCCCCTTTTAAATACAAAATTACTAGCAAACCCATTTTGTTTGTGTTACTCCAGCTCAGTTTCATAGCTTGTAGTGTGTACTAAAGTTAATCCATGTCTGTTCAGCCGTTTCAATGTGAAGGAGTAATGAATGTATACATGCAAACATACAAACTTAGGCATATATAATAATAGTCATATACTTTATTGTAAATAACCATTAAATTTGGCAATTTTTGCAGGTTATTTATATTTAAACTTAGAATTAACTTATTTGTTTGAACATATTATATTATAACATACATACCTTTTTTCCTTTTCCAGTCCTAGGAACTTCTGTCCACATTTCCTTGACATTTTCTAATACCATGTTACAATGCCGGTCGAAAGCTTTTACACGACCCAACAACTTTTTGTTATTTCTGCAGTTTATTAATACTTGTGTATTATTTTTAACGGACTGCGTAAGCACTGAGAGTGGACCCGTGCTAAATTCTTCTTCTTCAATCTTTGATAACTCTTCCAAAGTCATCTCTGAGCGTGGCTTGGATGTACTCGCCCTAGTACAATAATGTATAATATAATAATAGTAATATCTTAAATTTAATTTTTTATTAATATTTAGGTATGGAATACTTACATTGTTGACTGTTAATTAAGTTTGCAGTAGAAAGTTTTTAAAACGATAAACAATAAAACACGCGCGATTTTACTACACCGCTATAATGATGACAACAGATTATAAAATCGCAATATGACAGAATCATGGAGCATACTATATATATGAACATAGATTATATATGATGAATGGCTAAAATGATTTCAGATTATATAACAAAAATGGTCTGAGCTTATTTGGATTTTTATAAAATGACCTACCCTACCCCAGCCTGCAAATTTATGATATTTGCAATGAAAAAAATACTAATCGATAGATTTTCAATAGCTCAATTTAATTACGTAGCCCTTTCAAATTGCTCACCTTTAATTATTTAATTAAAAATCTTTTGATGTATACAATATTTCAAATTGCTCAAAGTTCTAAAACACTGCTCAAGTTGCATTTGTAATTGCTCAAGTAGAGTTTTTACCAGCTCCACTTTCGCTGATTATTAAATAATTAAAAGTATAGTTGTAATAAATGTAACGTAGGTTAAGTGAGCGTGCGCATGCGCACCGCGCATTGTCGGTCGGCCTCGGCGGGCTTGGACAATCGTTCCAATTCAACGTCTTAATTCTGTTTCTCGGTGGATTTCTTTAAATTTATTGAATTTATGAATTGTTCACATTACGTGATTCCACTTCAGATATTATAACATAAAGAACAGATCTGGAATCTACCAATAAATGAAAATTAATACCAACATATCTGTTGTTATTAATTTTCTATATATATATATTATAATTAAGACAAAATCTTATGTTCAAATGCTTATTCTATTAAGGTAATAGCCATGACAGGGATCATTAGTAAAATGTTATTAACATCAATACAAGACGGAACTTTTTTTATTTTTAAATATACATATAGTATAATGACATTTTTATTTCAAAGAAACAAACTGCATGAATATAAACTGCCTTTAATATAAAGGAATTTTGAACTCTGATCAGCAATCAATAATTTAATAATACTGCTACGATCCTTTTTAGCTCCTGGAAGCGCCACAAACATTCCATCTCTTGATGCTGAGCTGATCGCCTCTCGGATGTTCCATCTCATTTTCAACAGCTTCGTCTCACTCTTTGACTCCATCTCATTAGAGCCCTTAGTACCGTCCTCTTTTTCCTGATTAATTTAGCGGCGATGTTTCATTTTTCTTAGCGGGGTCCAGTTGTGGTCCGTTTACCGGCATTTATGCTGTTTTCCTCGCCCGAGCGAGACAAGGATTTCTCGTCGTCCTCGTCATCGTTGATTATGCAGAGGAGGTCTGATTCTGAAACTTCTTGGACTTCTACGTGTGTACCTATTAAAATAACAATTGATATTGTACATTGAAAATACTTGTATAGAGTGTGATCTTGAACCTATCTATACGTTAAATTTATTCAAACTATTTATATTTATTTAATAATTAAGGAAAGTGGAGCTGGTGAGAACTCTACTTGAGCAATTACAAATGCAACTTGAGCAGTATTTTAGAACTTTGAGCAATTTAAAATATTGTATATATCAAAAGATATAGAAATTTGAATATACGGATAAATGAATTTTTTTTCAAGGACTTTATTGATTTTTAATTTTATAATTAATGGTGAGCAATTTGGAAGGGCTACGTAGTTGAATTGAGCTATTAAAAATCTATCGATTAGTATTTTTTTCATTGCGAATATCATAAATTTGCAGGCTGGGGTAGGGTAGGTCCATTTTGTATTTAAATCAAATATTTACGCACTCTGTTTATTTATGCATTGTCTATTTTAGTTTATTACTAAAATAAAAATTATAACCATTAGAAAAAAAAATGTCTTTTTCAATTTCTGTTTAAAGAAATTTATTACTAATTGTTTATTTTTATCAACAAATAAATTGACAATTAATTTTAAAATGTTACCTACTTCAATTAAATTTAATAAGTATTCTAACATTTTAAGATTGCCTGTATTATATAGTTTATAAGGACGCCTATTGCCTGTTAAGTTTCCATTCTGTACCTTGTACACCTAATTTTATTTGTGGCAGTATATAAAATATTTTTTTAATGGATGTGTCTCTGAAAAACCGACGTTGAATGAATCGTCTATTCACAATTCACATCTTATAATCTTTTTTTTATACTCATTATTTGTACCTTCTTTCAAGAAATATTAAGATCTACAGGTTAAATTAAAAGATTTATTTAAATAAATATTTTTTTCGAATCGCCACAGTTTCATCACATTTGGAACATGTTATAATTAAAAAAAATATAGAATAAAATATATTTTTTTAAGTTCTTCTATAACCGCTGTATGGCAACACTTACATATTGATACAGGGACTACCCGTATACATTTTAACAGTCGAATCATCAAAAAACTAAATAGTGAGAGTCAGAGTTCAGAGTAGCGGTACTCGGTAGTCCTAGTCAGTACTCAGTAGATCAAACAGTATTATTATTATACTAATATACAGGACAGTAGATCTATGCTGAGCCTGAGCACGCTACGAATTTCATTCTGATAGTTGATTCTAATAACCACATGTTTTAAAATCTTAAACGAGTCAAGAGCTTCTTATAGAAATGGCTCCAAACTTCAGCAAGGATGCCATTCTACAGGGCAGTGTAGATTATTTTTGTCTAATTTGTGAGACTTATCTTATATCTGAAGAAGAAGCATTTGTACATGTATCTAACGTTACTCATCTAAAAAAATTAAGCACCATACAGTATGTTGATGAATATATGGAAGATGGAATTAAAAAGGTAAGTAAGCACTAAGCTGAGATGTTTTTTTTATTAACAACAATTATTTCTTTATTTTATACAGCTTGATTACATATAAGAATTAAACTTAGCAATATTTTATTTATTATAAACATGAGGTAAGTAGAAAGTGGGTAGTGGAAAGTAAATTAGACTAAAAGAATATCAAAGACGCATGGGATATAAACAAGAATATAGTATATATATTTGTCAGTTCTAGATAGTAACATAAAAGAAGATAAATTCTATTTATAAATATATTAAAAAATATTTATATTATAAAAATATTTGATATTTAATATAGCATTGATACTTCAATGACGAGTATCTTTATATTGTATGTTCTCAAACACTATCCACTTCTTCTTCTTCTCCCTGCCCATTTCCCAATCTCTTGGGGTCGGCGCAGTACATCTTCTGTACTGCTGAAAGGATTTGGCAAAAGTTTTACGACCGGCCGCCTGCCTGACGTTAACCCTCCTTGGGAATCCCAAACGCTATCCACTCCTATATAAAAAACATTTTATAAATTATTTAATTAAGTTAAGGAAAATCAATAAATTATTTGCAATATACAAATTGTGTCATTTAATATTTTCATATTTGAAGTAATAAATAATATCAATGTATTTTTTAGATTAATGGTAAATATTTTTGTGAGCTATGCAATAAATTGCTACCAGTTTTAGCAAGAGTACGCTTGCATATAATGGACTTGACACATATAGACAAAAAGAGCTATCACATTTTGAAACGTAAAAACAATTTTGTGATAGCATTTGAACAATTTGTAATAAATGAACAATCGTGGCATGGTTTAAATGAGAACTCATGTGCCCTATGCAATTTAGAGTATGAAGATGAAGAGCTACATAAAGTTGAATCATGTCATATCTTAAATTTGATTCAAAATAAGGTGGAATTTGATAAAAACAAAAATGTTTATCGAAAGGTAATTTGACTATAATCTAGCTTTGCTTTTTTTTACTAAATTGAATTATTTATGTTATGTTTTCAATACACTTTTGAAGTACGGTAATTCTGACTTGAAAGTCATATGTGATTTGTGAACGTTTATATTAGACACATAGATAATAGTTTTTTTGATAAGAAAATATACAAGAAAATACAACTAAAAAGAAATAACTTGATTTATTATAATATTTGCACTTAAAATCTACAGCATAATATTTTAAAATTTCATTAAATACAACATTGTATTTAAACATACCTAATATTTACATTACCGTGAGAAGTCACATGTTCAATTCCAATTTGGGCTTCACTTACATTTAACCCAGTCTGGTTTCACTGTACTTGTAGGTAAAATATTTTTTAAAGCAAGTATCTTTCTACAATCGGCAATCCCTCTTCAGAAACCCATTCAATTACATTTGTATTTTTATAGGTTGATGAAGTATCATTTCAATGTTTAACTTGCAACAGCATTCTGGCTTTGCATGACCTAACTTCACATTTTAACGAGGGTGAACATAAAAGCATATATCAAACATGCTGTGAGGCATATCAAAAGATAAAGCATGTTCCCGCAGAGAAAAGTAATAAGTCAAAAGTAGTTAACAAAAATATATTAAAGACTCAGGATAAATGTGACAAAAATAATTCTACAGATCTAAACAATGAAAAGAAACAAACGAAAGAGCTTGACGCTGGAACTAAAGATGAGAAACTAGACTCATCTAAAATAAATAAAGCACTGAAAAGTACAACTGAAAATAAAGAAAATGTTTCTGAAAATAATGAAAATGTTTCTAAAAATATAAATAATGATGTAAATGTACTTAATTCCCAATATGTTTATGATGAAAATTGTGAAGACAACATTTGCAAAATGCTGAACACAACAGATTATGTTACGAAAGATGAGAATGGAAAAACATGGTGTATTTTATGTGACTGGATTATGGACTCTTGTAAAATATTTGACCATGTGGAAGGTCAACATCATCAAACTATTTTGAAATTACACAAGGAACGTGCTAAAAAGCTGAAAAATATTAACAAGCCTCATAAAAACGTGGCTGCTAAAAATAGTACTGATAAAGATAACATGCTTTTGCTTAATTCCATTGACACATTCCAGAAAAATGGAATTAATATTAATTTTGAATCAAATTCTGCTACTTGTAAGAAATGCACAATTGCTTTAGAGTATGATTTCGAAGCAATTAGTAAACATATTGCAGAACACAATAAGAGCATTCCTACAAAAGAAAAAAGGAAGCCTGCCGAATTCCCTTCAGGCACTGACAAATTGGCAGATAGACAAAACAGTTTATTTACAAGTCCCGTACACTTAAAACGTGATACTGAAGACACAATTTTAGAAATAAATGGCAAAACTGATGACACAATAAAAATAAATGACAGCTGTGAAGATAAAAACTCAATACATGTACCAAAACAAACAGATTCAAAAAAAATTCAAATTGCAAAGCTAGAGTTGAAAAAGCCAAAAAAGATTGTCCTTTCAAAGGTGCCGTTGATTGCATATATAAAAAACCTTACAGCAATTGATGGTAGTATGTTTAAAGATATTATCATAAATGAAAAGTTTGTTATAAATTTCTTAAGTTTTTGTTTCATAGCCCATGAGAAACATCTCTACAAATGTATTCTTTGCGAAGAATCTATGACATTTAATAACATACTAGATCACACTCAGACTCCTCGTCATGATAAAGCCATTAATGAAACTTCGGTCATTCTTCAAGTTGATTCAGAGTTCATTAGAGAGGTAATATCTTAAAACCTATTTTTAAATAAATGTATCTTTTTGGATTTTTTTGCGAATTTATTTAGATGTTTAGTTCAATCATGGTCACAAGAGAGACTTCTCTCCCGATAAGATAGTTTTATTTAAAATGTCAAATATTCGCGTAAATCTAAGCAAGTATTATGTAAACCTATATTTTTATTAAAAAGGTATACATATATACATATCTAAATGATTCTTATATTGTTATATTCATTTGAAATGGAAATGCTCAAAAAAAGATAATAAAAACATGGTTAACATCCCGTTTATCTTAAGTGTAAGACTTTTAACTTGTAATACATGCAAAAACTGCATTAAAAAAACAAAAGTACTTGAAATAATTTCTTTCATTAGTAAAATATAAGAATCAAACATATACATATTTTATATTATGTACCATTTTTTTTTTAAACTTATTATTTTAGCTCCAACCTGGAAAGTTTCACTGTGGTTTTTGCAATATTGTGAAATCATCTTGGGATGAAATGTTGGAACATTTAGAGACTTCCTCTCATAAAGAAGGTAAAAACTCGGCAAATTGGCGTCTAATGCAATATGAACCGCAGCTTGCCCATAATAGTATGCAAAGACAAATTCAAGAAACACTTTTCTTAGAAATGTTTAATAGATTTTTTTAATTATTTTCTAAGACATTGTATTACCTACATATATTTTTTCTACTAATATAAGACTTTTGGGTCTATAAGACTAAGACATAGATGTTTCCCTATCTTTAACATATATTATTATATCTATATTGTAAATTTTATGTTTTTTACTTGGACAGTATTTTTATATGTCAGAGTAAATAAAGTCTTCTTCTTCTTTTAAGGCAATCTAGCTAATTTTTCGATTGTTTTCAGCCAATTTCTAGTGTAACCTACCTATTTACAATCTTGTTAAGTTACTTCATATTTTGTACACATTCAACAATATTTAAATTATGACAGCTCAGTTTTCGATACATGTATTTACATTTCCAAACATGTTTCTTATTTTTTTCTTTTGCTATTAGACATAGGCATAGATAATAATATAGAAATAATATTTTTTTTATATGCCTATTTTTATATTATAATTTCAGTGCAACCTTATAAATAAAAAAAATCTACCACGATTTCATAATAATATGTCGTATACCCATAGATACTTATATTAATAAAGATAAAGTACATATATATGCATAATACAAATTATTATCATTTTTCTTTCTTTAAATAAATACTTTTAACGGAAAACAAACTTGTTTTATTTATATGGTAGGTACCTATAAAATTTGAAAAAGCTGTATTTTTTATGTTATATAGTTATTGTTCTTGAGTCTAAAAAACGACTAAGAAAACAATATAATACAATATATAAGTGCTATATAATATGCCTAAATTACAATCATTTAGTAGTAGTAGTTGTAGTATTCATTTTCTATAATCGCTATCGCTTTAACATTTACGATGATAGAAATCGATTTTTCGCTAGACGATTTGACTATGGCGTCGATCGCTTATTCTACATATTGAAGTAATAGAAATTTATTTACTTGTCTGTGGTTTAAGCGCTCTAAAACGTCAAAATGACTACAAAGTCCGTGTCATCAGATAATAACTAAATTATTTAAAAATATTAGAAATAAATAAATTGTTCGATAATAGGATGGTATCACCCAGATGTAGAGCTACCTCAGAGCAATTTATGGCCCTATTAGAGTTTATGGAAAGGTGCGTTGAAATTATTTTTAAGAATTTTAGTTCATATAAACATGTCACAAGGAGCGATTAGCAACATATTATAGCAAAAATTATAAATATTTGTTTTTTTCTATATTTGTGTTGTAGTCATGGTGATATAACGAGGCCTCAGCGAGGGGTTCAAGGACGATTAAAAGCTGAACTTCTATGGCACGAAGTAGTAGATAAACTAAATTCTATCGATGGTGGAGTAAAGAAATCTTTGGACAAATGGAAAAAAGTAAGATAAGATTAATATAATCTTTTTTTAATAAATCATTTGCTTTTTATATTATAATAAGCTCATTTGTTTGGTATTTGGTAGATGCTTTGAAAATAATATTTTTATTTGAAACAGCTGTTATATTTTTACTAATTAAGTAATGCGGTGTTGTCCGCGAGTACGTTTTATTTTTCTGTAAAAGAAATTTCTAATTAATACAGAATGGACGAGTGTAAGGTTGCAATTTTATTGAGCGTTTTAATAGAAAATAATATATTTGATTAATTTGTAATGATTTATGTATAAGGCATTTAGTTATGTGACCTTGACCGATAGGAATGTGTTTAAAAAAAAATAAAAAAAGGGAGCGGATATTCATGTTTTCCCGCGCTTTTGCACAGAGATGTCGGTACCACCCTGTAGTGACTAGTCACGAATTGTTTGTAATACTAAAAATTATGGTTATAAATTATGTAACTCACTGGCGATTATAAAAGTACTGAATATAAGAATATAAGCAGGGAATATCGCGATGTTTTATTAGGGATCCTTCAAAATATATATATAAAGATCGAAAAGAGCTAAGAGACTAAACGCTTCGCTTCTCACCTATCATAATCCGTATCGGATTTGACGCCAAGCCTGAATTTAACATATATGTAAAGCATTCTCAAATCTAACGCTATAGCATTCCAGCTAAACATCTTTAAGGTGTTTTGCATAACAGAGCTGTTTTGTAAAATGGCTAATTTTTTTGTAAAATGGCTAATTATTTTGTAAAATAGCTGATGCTATAACGTTGTAATTTATTTATTTTTAATTTATGTTTACATATTGTATATGGCAGTAGTTGCCCAGTGATAACGCGTTCGCTTGGGAAACCGAGTGATGCGGGTTCAATCCCGGGTCTCGCACCTACGATATTTTCATGTGCGAATCATTTCTAACCTGATTACTACTTGCCTTACGGTGAAGGAAAACATCGTGAGGAAACCTGCATGTCTCTGAGGACCTAGCTATTTTTTTACATATATGTAGAGCAATATCAATTTTTGACGAATATATATTACATGTAGGTATGGGTGGACTGGAAGGCCAAAACAAAAAAGAAAGTTTTGGGATTACACCATGAATCAAGTATGGGTGATGGTCTGAGCAGACTAACTCTAAGTAATGCAGAGCAGAAACTATTGGCCATAATGGGCTTCTCTATTGTTGATGAGTCTGGAACTAAGAAGAGTGAATTTGACGTTTGTGTTTTTTCTTTGCTTAAGTATACTTTGCTAAAGACTTTGTGACTGAGTTTTTTTTTTTTTTCAATAATTATTATATATTTTTTAGAACTCACCACCTGAACAAAATCACGTTCCAGTACGCAGCAAAGAATCTCTTCTCGCCGAATTAAATATTCTGGAAGGTAATGCACATAAATATAACATGGTACCTACTTCACACTCAGTACAGCTTTTTTAACGCCAAAAGCCAATATCCTATAGTTTTTGGCTCATTTTTAAAGGAGGCGGTACTTAATTCGGGTATTATTTTATTGTGTGTATGTAATGGATTATCCTTGTATAATATTGAATTGATTTTCATGATGCTTTTTTAAACAAGTTTAAACAGTTCAAAGTTACATATTTTGAAGTCGGTAAAAAAAGTAATGAAAAATGTGCTGTCTATTTTGGTTTGCGTGAGAGGAGCAGCTAGGAGATGTATGAAATATACGAATGGTTAAATATTATCACGTATACTTTCAAAACTCCTATTAAGGATTCTGTACTCGTACTTATTATAATTTTGCTACTGGAATAGATCGTCAAAAGTCTCAAAGCCACGTAGTATACAATTGTTTTGCCATTCGAAGCTAACTTTATAGCAGATTACCTAAAAATAATTATGATAAAACAATTATTAACATATTTACAAACAAGTATTTTTTTCTTCAGTAGTGAAAAATTCTACAGCCTGTTCAATCTCTTCAGGGGAATTTCATGGCGATACCCTAGAATCACCGACGTCATCAGTATCTGCATCTGTACCGATACCGCCAACAAAATCGCCCCCATATAGACAACAAACGGCTCCACGTAGGCTTTTAAGAAAACAACGGTATCATACACCTTATAAACGAGCCGCCAGTGAATTTGTAGCCGTTGAGTTACGAAGATTGCAGTTAGAGGAAATTCGGGAAAAAAACTCTCACCAAAGAGAGCTAGAAAGGATTCGACTGGAGACCAAACGAATTGAGATGGAAGAGAGTCGTAACACTATACTAAATCGTTTGGCCGATATTACTGAGAATTTAGTGCAAATTTTGCCCCAATTGAGACCGTAGCAAACTTCTTCAGGCATGTTTTCAGCAAATACCGAGTGTGGTAGTTCAATAAACTAAAACCGATTTTATCTTTGATGTTATAGAGCAGATTGAAAAAAATTGGCATTAGTCGGTAAAATTAAAAGTATCCATCGATTTTTTTCCAATTAAAGCACACGAAGATTGATTAACGATATTCCAAATTTTTCACATATTTATTTTGTTATAAAAAAAGATCACTCGCACCAAAATCTTGATTTGTATAAAACAGTACAATTTTGGGGAAACATTTAGATAAAGTTAACTTAACTGAAATTATGAATTTTCGTGCAACTTATAGTTGCTTAATGTAAATATTCTTGTTTAACAGTACTTTTATAAAATAGTAAATAAATAGAATTAAAAAAAGCGTGTTCTTATTTTAGTAATAAAACTAATTTATTATGTAATAAGTAGTTATTATACCCTCATTTTTTGGCTAAAATTAAATCGGTATTTTGATTGTTATTTCCTTTTCGTCAACAAGAAATGCTTAAGATTTTAGGTTTTCTCGTAATTTTGAAAGTTATATGCAGTTTTTAAGTAAACTTAACCTGCCTTTTAGTAAACCTGCATGTCTGAGAGAACCTAGCAAGTTTTCGAAAGATATGTGAAGTCCGCCAACTCGCACGTGGCCAGCGTGGTAGACTATGGCCTGATCCCCCTCGTATTGAAGGAAGGCCCGTGCCCGTTAAAAAGGGCTGAATACAACCGCTCAAGAGATGAAAGTAAAGAAGTAATAATAATGTCCTCGTGACCGATTCTGGGGACGGCGGCCACTCTCATTGTGACTAGCCAACTGAGTATCGTTACTACAAGAACTAATTGTATAACAGAAAAATAATGAACACTTAATAAATTTTTCACTTTGCGGCCTTATATCCAGCAGCAGAAATTTAGGTCTTTCATATACTATCATTTCACCCCCTGAACACAAGGGATGTCAAAAATTACAATTTTCAAGGTTTCGAATGCACTGTAGTATTTCGATTCTTACAGTTCCCAAATAAATCTGCGAAAAATCCGAAATGATGGTTTTATTTAAAACTAGCATTGACCGCGGCTCCGCCCGCGTTCAGATGACCAAAAAGTAAATTCTTAGATTTACCCATTAGTATAGGTACTCTTACAATGCTGTTTTTGTATTTTTTCTCAGAAATGAGATATTTTCCTGCGTTAAAAAGTATCTTATATGTTGACCCGGATAACCAGCTATCACCATACCAAATTTCATCAAAATTCCACCAGTGGTTTTTCTGTGTTGCGGTAACAGACAGACAGACAAGAATTCTAAAAACTATAGATTTGGCCTGTGTATCGATAATAATGTCTATTTCAATAAGATTTTCCAAAAAATATTTAATGTACAGATTCGGCTTAGTTACAATTTTATTATATGTATAGATGACAAATCTAAGAAAGTATTATACTGTAGTGCTATATCTCATTGCAAGTTGTATTTATACTCTTATACCCTAAAACCAATTGTTATAATATAAAACTAACTATCGGGACTAACTATAGTCAGAAACTATATTCGTGAGCGCCTCTAAATGCATGAAAATTGATTTCGGTATAGACTGTGTACGGTAGTCGAGGTGATAAATACGTTTACAGATTGCCATCTTTATTAGTCTCTTTTTTCTTATTATAATATCAAGGTAAAAGTTTTCGAGTAGCATCGTTTTGACGAGTCGTCCAACTTTTGTCTCTATGATAATTTTCGACAGTGGTAGATAAAATTGTGGGTTGGTAAAAAACATGTAGAAATAATTGTCTAATTTGTATTTTTTTAAATATTTATTATTTCAAAAGTCATAAACGCGGAACGTAATACGTCCAATCGCCAGTCGCTTTGACGCGGCGCCATTATATGTATGTAAGTTCATTCTCCTTAAGAAAATAGTAAGTCTTCAAGTGCAACTGCAGGCAGCAGCGTACAGGTGTATTCACAGTGGAGTAAAAATTCATTTCAAATATATTTCAAAAGATTAAGTTTAATGGATAAAAATCAACTTAATTATCTGAAATCAAAATAAAGTCATTAATAATACCTATATTTAATCAGTATCACTAGAACTTATAATTACCTATATAAATTGTATTTCACAGATACACCGCACGCACTTGCTGCTTTTAGTACTGTTTTTGTGTTTTTTGTGTTGTCAGTCTAAATTAAATCGCACAGTTTAAAATACTTAAAAACATTGTAAATTGCTCATCTTTCTCCGCTATGAATTATAATCGATCCATTTTTAGTTTTACGAATAGGCGATATATTCATTTTTTTTTTATTGTAGGTAATGCACAAAGGACCAAACTGTTTCGAACGAAAGTCTTCCTTCATTTAGTCATTGTGAACTTGACTTTATAATTTTGTGCGACCGGCCGGTGGACAACGATGAGTCAGTTTTTTCTTAACGCGAATGAACATATAGGTAGTATTTTTATCAATTAGCGTGAAGTCTAGTCGAAAGCTCTCATCATTTACAAGTTATTTGTAGTACAGTAAAATGAGTGGTATTTTCAACATTTTCTTATATATATTCTGTATAATTTTGCTAAGTTTATCAAGAAAAAACAACGGCCTTGTAATACGTAAGTGAAACTTTATTTTGTGTTATATTTAGCTATATACCGTACATATAGTACACCGATTGCTGACTTCAATTCTTGAATCATATAATAACGTATATGGAAATTATTTTATATTTAGATATATTAAATAGTTTATATTAGTATTGTTTGGTTTAAATAAATTTTTTTTGAAAAGAATTGAATTTGAGGGCTTAATTACGATAAATAATCGTATCGTCATTTACTGCTAATGGAAAATACCTGATAAGTTTTTTTTTTGCTCGGATTCTGATTAAAATTATAAGAAATTAAAACAGTTTTTGAAGTTATAATTTTTTTGGCTTGTTTAGAAAAGAATATGAGACTCTTGAGAGTAAAATTTTTACGATGCCGCGCATAAAGATAGTCAAAAAGTGACATGGTGAAGTTACAGAGAGTTGTGACTTACAGGATGTTATTTTTAGCAATTTTTGTTGTTACGCCAAAAAAGTTTATTTTCTTACGTGCGTACATAAGTACACAGGCACGTTTTTTAATTTTGTCATTTTATATAGATACACACTGAAATATATACTGCAAAGTGTTTACGAATGAATAAGTTGAGAGTCGAGGTTAATTAGGCTACTGTATTTTCCTTATATTACAATAAAATTAATCCATTTTATGACTATATCTCGATAGTTTACCAATATCAAGTTATAAAACTAAACATTAATATATGGACCAAATGAGCGTTATAGACGATACTTTAAATTTAATCGTTGAGCCTTATAATACTTTTTTAGATTTACGCGAATATTTGACATTTTAAATCTATCTTTTCGGATTATTTCGCGGATTTATTTTAATTTTTGGTTCCCGACGTTTCGAATGCTTTACAGCAATCATGGTCACGGGAGAGACTCAGGTGTTAGATATCTGGAAGGTATAGTTGTTACGGACAGCCTACCCACAATTAACAAAATGAAAAAACGAAATAATCCGAAAAGATAGTTTTATTTAAAACGTTGAGCCCTATGTTATTCCTGACGGAAACTTAAATGCGTCTACGTCAAGAATTTAAACTTTATATGAACTAATATCATTTAAAGTTTAAGTTATTACATTTCTAACAATTTAGGTAAACCTGCAACCGAGTTCAGTCGCCTCAAGCTTGTAAAGCCTTTACTGTATCATGGAAAAACTAAGAGGGAGATCACTTCTACCAAACACACGGTAATGACCTGTATTAATTTCCGTAAGTAGGTATATTATGATTCCTTTATGACGTTTTTCCACCATCCACCATACATTATCTCCTCAAAATTCTGTCTCACACATCTTCTCAAAGTAATTTTTATATATTTCGACTTTCCATAACCTCTATACAAAAACCCTATTGAAAAAATCCGATAGGATCTCATCAAAAGCGACAAAAGCCACATAGAAACCAATAAATATTTATTAGTTTCCATGTGGCTTTTATTTGTTTCTACGTGGCTTTTGATAAAATCCTATTGGAGTTTCAATAGGGAATATGATCCATTACGAGTCGCGTGTCATACTAAATTTGCCAAATGTTATTATACATAAGTGTTACAAAAAATATTAGTTTTACTTTATTTTGCAACATATTTTGAATTTTCTAAGATTTTCGCGAAAATTTGACATTTTAAATAAAACTGACTTTTCGAATTTTTTCGCGGATTTTTTTGATTTTTGGTTCCTGTTGTTTTGAATGCTTATTTAAAACATTTATTTTTTTATTTAGAATGATATGCACTACCTAGAAGTGACGATGGCAATAGATATGGATGGAGACCAGCATATACTAGATTTGAAATTAAATAAAGATCTAGTAGCAGGAGGACATATTATCAGGTATCAGAAAGATGGTCACAAGATCCTACATAAGCCCACGATACAGGTTAAATATTAAAAAGTTAGTAAGCACCACTTCCAAGTTAAGGGATTAAGGTTAAAGATTTTTCGTACCTCAACTTTAAAGCAATTTTGGGGGTATTTCATGTTAACTTAAAATTTGTCATAAATTATTTCAAACATTAACTGGATCAAATATTTACTATATTCTCTACAGTAAACTGCTATTACTAACTCACGACTTAGTGAACCTTTACCGGCTAATGTGTAAAAATGTTATTATAATCTTTAAAAAATAATCCAGAGTGATGTTAGTCGGGTGAGGTAAAAATTATTTTTGTCAAGCTTGCCTATTAAATTGTTCATATAATTTTATTATGTTTGCTTTTAATCTAGCTTAATCTTCCTAGATTTTGGTCAAGATTAATAATAATAATAATAATAATCTTTATTCAAGTGACCAGTGACTCATATGGTTAGTAAACAATAATTCTTAGAGACTAGGTTAGTTATGTTATTACATTTTTTTTTTTAAGTTAATGTTACATACAGTATACACAAATCACCGCTGCACCATTCCGTTTGCAACGGCACAGCAGCGATTCATGTATATGCAATCCAATCTATTTGCTATCATGCTCAGAATTCTATTGGCACTACCCCGTACCCTACGCACCAGAGACCCACACCTTTTTCTCATGAGGGCGTAAAAACAATCAACACGCGCTTCAGCGAACATCCCTGAGGCGCTGCAGTATCGAGGTAGCCCCAACAGCACTCTGAACGCGTTATTGTATTGAACGCGGAGAGCACTATAAGATTTTTGAGTATATCCTGCCCATACTGCCCTCCCGAACCTAAAGTGCAGTAACAGCAAAAACACGATTTCGAGAAAAACGCGCCTAAAGTTTAGAATCCATAAAAATATATCAAAAAGAGACTTTTCGATAAAACCTTGAATGGAAAGTGAAAGAATATGTACCAAACTAAAATACTAAACATTGTTACGTTAGTTTTTTTATAAAAAACTATAATTATGGCAATTTTAATTTTTTAGCCCCTATTACTACACACACTTTATTTGTATAATGTTTTCAAAAACTGTTTTAAATGCAGTAAATCCTGTTATTACTGCATTTTAGACATTTCTTCCATGATTGTTACTAACTAAAGTGCAGTAATATTATGAAAGTACTGCTATTTAATCTGTTTTTTTGAACAAAACACTGATATTCCAAACTTATAGTAATATAAAATTACCTTTAATTTTGATAAAAATATGTAATTTCTTAAACAAAACTGGACATGCATTTATGACTATGCTATTAAAACTATTCATCAAAACATTGTACATTATAATCTAATAGTGTAAATTGTTTTATATGACTAACAATATAACAATCTTTACAAGATGTTGATAATCTTAACTAGTTAATCCACCATAAAACTATATCACATGTATTTCTCATGCATGGATCAATAAAATTTACATAAAATCTTTCTTCTGAACATAACTAATTACTAAATGAATATTCTTGTCTTACAAAAATAATAGTCTGAAAAGATTATGGAAGGGAGAACCAAGAAGAATTAACTTATAAGGGAAACAAGTTGAAAAAGTGTCCAGTAGTGAGCAGCAAATTATAGCTCAGAAACTCACCGTTACTGCACTAGCGTAGCAAGTAGATGTGATGTGAAGTTAGTAGTTTTTAACGGAGTGAAGTGTGCTGAATTATTATTACTTGAAAATAATATATAATTATATTGCTGTTTGCCTATGCTAGAACTATTTTGAAAAGTGCGCCACAGCAAAGCGGAAATCTTTCTTTCCTTGTTTAATTCACCTTCTTACTTTTATGACGCTATGTTTTAAACTAGCGACTCACCCTCGCCTCACTCGGGTTCGTCCCTGGATACTTTTTTTTTTTGAGCGGAACTCTAATTCTTTTTTAAAAATAAAAGTAGCCTATATTACTCCCTATAACATCAGTTAGATTCCACTGAAAGTCCGTCAAAATCAGTCCAGCCGTTTCAGAGATTATTCGGAACAAACAGACAGACAAAAAATTTTAAAAATTAGTTTTTCTTATAAGTACCGTATATAATTTCATATGCATTTAGTGAAAAGGTTTATTTTGACATTACAAACAGACACTACAATTCTATTTATCTGTATAGATGTATAGATTCATATACTTGTTTTCTGTGGCGCCACCAATTTAATGCTTGTCAGCGGTCACTTTTTATACGAGAAATAGTTCTCCTTAGTTCTACCCTCCATATCTCTTTGGTACAGACACAGCATGGCATGTCAAGTCAGCCTTAAGCCACAGATCCTTGAGACAGACAGACAGAAGGACTGCCTCAAACCGCGATATTGCCTGTCCTGTGTTTTAATATTTTAATAATTTTACCTATTAAAACGCAGTATTAGGGAATAGTATTTGACTTTAAGTATTTTAGGTAGTATGACTTGGATGGAGCAAACTAACTAATATGCAGTAAAATTTATAAATATTGTAAACTAAATGGTCTTTTACAAGCAACTATAAAACATCCTACAAGTTAAACTGCAGTAAAGTTATTAAATACTGCATGTCTTTTAGTTTTTCACAAGAAATTACAAAATCCCCCACAAGTTAATGTGCAGTATGGAATGTTAATACTGCATTTTAATAAGTTTTTTCTTGAATCTCCTAGAACAAACTACTATTTTAAGTGCCACAAAATATGATAAAACACTGCAGTTTAGTTAGGAAACAGAGAAAAATCTTGTGCAGTATTAATTGTACTGCGGTTTAGCTGGTAAACATGGAATATTTTAACAGATTTGTGATATTTTTTCTGTTACACCTTCCGAAAAAACATTAAAATAAAATACTTTTATTAGCGCTACAGAAAAAAGAATTAATTTGACTGATAGCTACTAAAATGGGGATTTTGAATATATAATTAACTCAAAACCGACCAAAATGTCTATTACTGCACTTTAGGCTCAGGTGGGCAGCATAGGCTGCACGTGTAAAAAGATGTACAATATGCTCTGAATAATGTTATTTTAACGTTGGGTGAACTACGTGCAAACCTACGAGCAAGCATATTCGCTCTCACCGACAATGCTCTCCGCTCCCGTTCAATATCAGTGTCATCTTTTAAATCAGAGGTCAGATAGTGTCCGAGATATTTAAAACTATCCACCCTATCCAGTATACAATTGTTTAGTAATACCGGTGGTAAATCTTTAGTACACTTGCCTCGGACATTAAACACCATTATTTGGCTCTTTTTTACATTATAAATTAAGCCATGTGACTTAGCATACGACTCACATATAGACAATAATTTTCTTATGCCACAGACGGACGCACTCAGCAGCACCATATCGTCAGCGTAGCTAATGTTATTAACACATACACCATCTATGTAACAGCCAACTCTGGTACTGCTGAGCTCAGCTATTAACTCATTCAGATAAATGTTAAAAAGGGTTGGCGAAGTCAAACCCCCTTGTCTCACGCCACACTCGAGGCCATATGGCCGAGACAACGCTCCCTCCCATCGTACATTGTTGACCTGGTTACCATACTGTAAGGTAGTTTGAAATTTGTGCGCCGTCAACGTTAAAGAGTGGGGTCTACAGAATAGTATTTAAAAATGTGTCGTTACCTATTGCGGAACAGTTATTCATATTTTTTCTCATGTGAGTGGTTATTATGTCAAAATTGTGATTGAATATTAAAATAAATAGTTTGTGTTGAAAAGTGTTTCTCTCTGAGCATTTCCTTTTAGCTCAGAAGTGAGATGAACTATTGCCCACAAGATCGAAGTTATTATAACAAGTGACTTATTACTGCCGTTGTTATTTTCATTGAGTTTAACGTATTTTACTGTGAGTGTGTTTTAAATAATGGGGCGTCATAAAAAAGATAAAGACCGTGAATCTCGATTGCGTCGAAAGTTATTAAAAGCAGTGGAAAAACAAAAATTAACGAATAGGTTAGATGCACTAGAACGAGAATTAATAAAATGCCGAGATACGCGTCATATTAGTAGTGAGTCATGTGTAAGTGATGAAGTGAATTTAGTGAACAATCCTGTTTTGCGTTCAGTTGTTATCGCTCGTGAATCTGATGTCCCGTTGATATCGAACGAGTCTCCGCGTTGTGTGTCGGTCTGTGAGGGGCCACCTACAGCTGCCGCCATGGCGGGACCGGCTGTGGCTGGAATTTCCACAATCCCGCCCATGGCTCCACCGTCAGTACAACCAGGCCCTACTTTGGAACAAGGGCACATGGTGGAACCTCTATCTTCCGCTCCACATTATGCGGTAGGTGCTACGCCATCAAGCAACAAAGAAGCATTATCAGGTATGCCAAGTACTGATAATTTATTAATACAACCATCCTGCTCCCCGGTAGTAAGATATGTGGGTCGGAATGATCCGTTACCCGAATTCGACCCTCAAATGTCAATGATTACAATGGAACAGTGGATTAGAAAAATAGAAGGTTTATCTAACATGTACGGTTGGGATGAAAAAACGATAATATTTAATTGTACATCAAAATCGAAAGGTTATGCCCGTCAGTGGTATGATCAATTGAGTGACTTAAATTTAAATTGGAACGAATGGAAAATACGACTATTAACGGCTTTTCCTTCCAACCGTAGTAAATTAAATATGTTACATGATTTGGTAAATGTAGTTAGACGGCCCGAACAGGATTATTTGCAATTTTATTATGATAAGTTAGCTTTAGGTAATGCGTGTGGTATACCTGAAAGTTTGATAATAGAAGCTATCGTAGGAACAATTGGCAATGATATTATAGAAGTCGGGGCAATATCAGCCGGTTGTCGTGACTCATCATCGTTATTAAGATATTTGTCATCATTTGAACATCCATTAGTAATAGATCGTAATAAAAAAATAATAAATTATGAAAACAAAATAAAATGTAATATATGTCAAATGCGTGGTCATATTGCAGCGAAATGTAAAAATAAATTGGGTCATAGTAGTAAATTTAATTTATTGTGTTCCTTTTGCAATAAACGTGGTCATACTGAAAAAGATTGTTATACAAAAAATAAAAAATGCAGTTACTGTGGTAAAAATGGTCATATTAAGGATGAGTGTCTTAAATTAAAGAATCGTAATGCAAATAATGAAAATAATAAATCTAATAAAACCCAACAAGCTGTTCGCGTAATTAAAGATATATCGGGTAGTTCAAAATATTATATGCAGATAAAAATTAACAATAAGCCAACTTCAGCCTTTATCGATTTTGGTAGTACGTGTAATACAATAACTGAAACAGTTTGTAAGGAATTAAATTTAGAATTTTATACTTGTACGCGTAATATCGTTATAAGAGGTTTCGGAGGCTCAAAGATAACACTAATTGGCGAGGTTGTAATGTTAATGTTGATGAAGCCATTTGTGAAACAAAGGCTTACATTGTTCCTGACATTGCTCAGGACATTGGTGTTATCATCGGGTAACTTTTTACAGAATATCCAAATGTTTACGTGATTAAAACTCCTACATCATTAAAAATTTACAACGCAAATATTTTAACCGAATTACCGAACATACATGAAACAGCAGATCGCATTAGACTCGTGACCGATGAAACTCTGTTTTGATAAATAATACGGAACATAACACTCCGCGTGCTGAATGTATCATTTCAACTTGTGAAAACGATATGATACAGGGTAAAACTGTTTTAAAAGTTTTTAATAAGACTTACGATTTCTTTAGCATACCCGAAGGACATTGCGTTGCACGTGCAACTATAACATGTGGTACAAAACAATATAAAGTAGGAGAAAATCTAGAACCTTACGTACTAGAAAAACTTGAAAATATTTTAAATGATTATTCAGATTGTTTCTCCGGTGATGAAAATAAAATTGGCAAATGTTCTACTAAGATGAGCATTGAATTAACCGATAAAAAACCTATTTACTATAGACCATATCGTATGTCTATGGCTGATCGTGAAAAAGTACGTAGTATAGTGAATGACCTTAAAGAGAAAGATATTATTGAAGAATGTAACTCGCCTTACGCAAGCCCTGTACTTCTTGTATCTAAGAAAACCGGTGAATCGCGAATGTGTATCGACTATCGGGCTCTTAATGAAGTAACTAAAAAAGATTGCTATCCTTTACCGTTAATTCAAGATCAATTAGATCGGTTATCAGAGCAACGGGTGTTCTCGTGTCTAGATGTAAAGGCGGCTTACCATTGTATTCAAATAGAAGATGATTGTAAACAATACACTGCTTTTATAACTCCGGACGGTCATTTTCAATACAAACGTATGAGTTTCGGTCTAGTTAACGCACCGTCAGTGTTTCAAAGGGCGATGGATGAGGTGCTTGGGAATTTACGATTTACGTGTGCTACAGCGTACTTAGATGACATTCTTATTTACTCTCAAAACAATGACGATACGTTAGATCAATTGCAAGCGGTATTACATAAGATAAGGGACGCTAACATGACTCTGAGACTGGACAAGTGTTCCTTTTTAGTTTCTCAAATAGAATATTTGGGGCATGAAGTTACTAATGGCGAAGTTAGACCCTCGAAGTATAAATTAAACACCGTTCGTGACTTTCCTGCCCCTCAAAATGTACACCAAGTACGCCAATTTATGGGCTTAGCGAATTACTTTAGAAAATATGTTTTTGGATTTGCTTCTATGGCACGTCCTTTAACGTTGCTTACTAAGAAAGACCAACCTTGGCTTTGGAGTGACGATCAATTGCAAGCCTTTAATCGAATTAAATCTATTTTAGTTAGTCAGCCTGTTCTAGCTTTATTTAATCCGCAAAATGAAACGCAAATTCATACTGACGCGTCGAAATTAGGGCTTGGTGGTATATTAATGCAAAAGCAACCTGATGAGACTTGGAAACCTGTCGCTTATGCAAGTAGGCAAACTACACAAGCCGAACAAAAGTATCACAGCTATGAGCTGGAAACATTAGCAGTAGTTATGAGTTTGAATAAATTTAAAGTTTATGTAAGTGGCATTAAGTTTACTATCGTTACTGATTGCAATGCTTTAAGATGGACTTGGTCTAAACGTGATTTATCGCCTCGTTGGTGGAATTGATACTAATCCACGTTGGTGGTTAGAAGTACAAAGCTTCGACTTTGATGTGGAGTATCGGTCGGGCAAATCTATGGCTCACGTAGACGCATTGAGTCGCAATCCGGTTTCTGTAATGCGAATCAATGAAAAGGATTTAATAGAATATTTACAGTTAGAGGACGATGCAATTCGTTCTACTATAGATCAATTAAACAATGAGATTTTAAAAGATAATACAAGAGGTCTAGCTAAAGATTACGTTGTTGAAAATAATGTTTTATTTCGCATTATAAATAATAATAAAAAGGTTGTGGTAGTTCCGCGTAAGTCACGTTGGTCCCTTGTACAAAGTTTACATGATAATAATGGTCATGACAATTATAATAAAACCTACGATGCTATAAAATCTAAATATTGGTTCGGTGGTATGCGTCGATTTATTCAGAAGTACGTTTCTAGTTGTATTTCATGTCAATATGCTAAAAAACCAACCGGACGCCGCGTAGGATTATTACATCCCATCGATAGAATTGCAGTGCCATTTCACACAGTTCACGTGGACCATTTGGGTCCTTTTTGTAAAAGTCCTTCCGGTAAAATGCATATACTGGCTATTGTAGATTCATTTACGCGTTTTATCTGGCTCGAAGCCGTACGGGATGTAAGTTGTAAATACGTATTGCAAACATTTGATCAGTTAATAAAAACATTTGGTGTTCGAAGTCGGATAATAAGCGATCGAGGTAAGGCATTTAATTGTAAAGATTTTAAAGAATATTGTGTCCGTAGGCAGATCAAACACGTCATGACCGCTGTAGCTAGTCCTAGGGCGAATGGCCGAGTGGAAAGATTTAACAGGACTGTATTAGACGCACTTATTGCATATGTTGGAGATGATCAAAATAATTGGGAAAAATATTTGCCAAAAGTTCAACTTGGTCTTAATTCTAATATTAACAACAGTACTGGTAAATCCCCACTTGAATTACTTTACGGTTTTCGCCCTAGGTTGATAGGTGATATCATAGCGCCCTCGAAAGATAACGATTTAGATACCATAAGGGAAGGTGCTTTAACACGTTCTGCTGTTATGTCTAAGGTAGCGAAACAATATTTTGATAAAAAACGGCGAAATGCATCACCATTCAAGGTCGGTGATCAGGTTCTTGCCGAAAGAAAAATAATTCGTAAAGGGTTACGTAGTGGCAAACTAATGCCACGTTTTGATGGCCCTTTTACAATTATTAAAGTCTTGCCCCATGACCGATATGTTATTGAGGGAAAACATGGTCGAAGTCGGCCATATAAAAATGTACTAGCTAGAGACAAAGCTATTTCAATCAGAAACTCATTCGGAGTCAGATTAAAATTGCTTATGACTCTTTCGGGTAAAATTTATAAATTAGTTATAGTTTAAGTACGGCCGTACAATAAGTTAATTATGTTAATTATATAAGGATCCATTAAAATTAAATTTTGTCATGAATTATTTTATTTGTTTTAATAGCGCTAGCCTTAAGAGGCAGGACTGTATATAGTCTCATTCACATATAAACAAAAATATATATGACTTTAAGAAGTCTCAGAGTAATTTTACAATATGTAACCACCTTTAGAGGGGTAATAGATGTCGCGACATTGTTAATATAAAATAAAATTAAAGGAGTCTCAGGACTTTTCATAGCCATTAAGAAGGCTAATTTTTACCGGTCATTAAGAAGACCGAGTTTTACCAGTCTTTAAGAAGACTGAGTTCTAGCAGTCATTAAGAAAACTGACTTTCGTCATTAATGAGACTTGAGTATTATTAGTCATTAAGAAGACTCAGGCTTACTAGCCATTAGCACTGCTGAAATCATTCCAGTCACTGGAAAGTCATTTTATTAAAGCCATTAAGACGGCTCTTCATGTATGCGTATGGCTAAAAGTCATCTTCATCGATAGTGCGTTATCCATACGACGAGTTGCGCGGGTCGCGCAGCAGAATCAGGAAGGCCGACTGTAAGGTAGTTTGAAATTTGTGCGCCGTCAACGTTAAAGAGTGGGGTCTACAGAATAGTATTTAAAAATGTGTCGTTACCTATTGCGGAACAGTTATTCATATTTTTTCTCATGTGAGTGGTTATTATGTCAAAATTGTGATTGAATATTAAAATAAATAGTTTGTGTTGAAAAGTGTTTCTCTCTGAGCATTTCCTTTTAATACCAATATTTAAGAATGTTGATGAGCTTTATAGGTAAACCGCTTTTCTGAAGTTTCTTCCATAAAATATTGTATGAGACCAGGTCGAAAGCCTTAGAGAGATCAAGGAAACAAGCAACGATTGGCGTTTCTCTCTTTACATAGTAGGTGACAGTACTCTTAAGACACAGCACTGCGGTTTCTGTTGATAGACCAGGTTTAAAACCAAACTGATTGTCATGTTGTTGGACGTGCACATTAAGCTGTGTATTAAGAATGCTGTCAAATACTTTCGAAATGACAGTTGCCAACGAAATGGGCCTATAGTTATTCTTATCAGCGTTGTCGCCCGTTTTATTTTTGACTATAGGAACCACCACCGTACGCATCATATCATCCGGCATATAACTATGATTTAGGCACATGTTAAATAACATACACAAAACACGGGGTAAGTGAGGACCAGCCGACTGTAAATGTTCAATGCTAAGACCATCGTGACCAGGTGACTTACCTCTGGTCATTGACATTATAGTTTCAGCAATACTTTTAGTTGTTATTTTTGTCAACCTGTTCACTCCGGTCCCAGCATCCCGCACACAATTCGACCGACCAAGTGGTGACTTTACAGAAAAGTGATCCATGAATAGATTAGCAATCTGCTCAGAATCAGTTAGACCGCTAATGCTCACAGGGATACCCGGCTTCGGTTGCAATCTGTTAGTTTGCTTCCAAAAAGAACGAAAATCTTTTTTTGTATGATGTGATGCTAATATATCCATTTTAATTTGTTCCGCATGGTCTTGGCACCATTTTAAACGCGATTTAAATTTCCTTTTAGCCTCACACATACTTTGATAACAAGAACCGTTAGTCGGCCTTCCTTGCAACGACCATAGTTCAAACTTTAGCCTGGCATCCGTGTGAGCAGCAGCGACATGTTTATTCCAACCTGGTACTACCCGCCTGCCACCCCTCCTACGTACACAACTTATAATGGCAGATTCACTTAAAACATCTACAATATTTTTGTAAAAGTTATCTATGATACTTCTGTGACTCGGATCATAGCAAATGACGTCACCACACTTACTAAGTTCATGCGGGAAATCTATGAAACTCAACTTTTCATGACATTCCTTCAAGTAAGTTTCAATCTGTTGTGGGTCCCTGTCACCCCACACGACTTTGCTGCATTTTATATTTGATTGCATTTTTATTATTGGAATCACATTCAAATTACATTCTACAATTAATGTTAGTGTCTATGGTTTTTGACTGATCTTGACAAATATGTAGATTTTTTTTAATTTTATTTTCTCACAATACATGACAGCTGAATCCGCGAGTACCTATATAAAGCACGATCGCGGATTCAGCGTTCGAGTCAAATAAAAGTTTTTATAGGATATCAGTACTGTTGAAAGCTTAGCGCGATGTTGAGAATGCAGGCTATTATTATATAAACTAGAGACAGTTAACTAATTTATGTAATATAATGAAATAGATGCAAATTTACAGATTTAAAATCTAATATAATACCATTAACGATTATAGAATAACAATACATATTATGACTAATGTTAGGGATCTACATATGTATACATATATAGGCGTTTTGGGCTGCAGCCAAGCCCAGAAGACCTTGTCGTGGTGGGGGGGCTCAGTAGTGCCCGGCAACCCAACCGGGCGCGAAGTCAAGAAACGCACAGGGAGGTGGCCCACTTTGGTAGGCGGTGGGAGGTGGCCCTCTTCGGTGGGCGGTGTACCATGCGGGTTGCTCCTGGTACTTCTCTGATAGCAGAGTGGACCTTGGAGCAACCCCGTGGTTGTTGTGGTCTGCTTCGGCAGACCTGCCGTCGGGGCGTCGTAGTTGAATGCGTAAGCGATCCTGCGACGCCCCATTAAGACGGGGGAAGGTTTTGTTGGGTTTTAGTGGGTATTATTGGCTTATTACACCGGTGAGTCCCACACCTCGTGCGTAAATGCATTTCCCAACGTTAAAAAAAGGCCCCTAAGATATAACGGGCCCCCTGTTGAAAACACTGTATAAAATTGTGAATTTATAAAAAAAAAACTAAGATAAAAAAATAAAGCCATAAAAGATTGGCCTACTAACAGAACCAAACAATATAGCGTTATCTTAATTTCGTCTAGTGCTATCTATGAAGATTTTCTAAAGGCAAAATGAAAATTAGTTTAATTCTAATGCACCCTAGATGTATGTATGTATGCACCCTAAATTACATTAGCAATGTCTTTCTAAATTTTTTGCTATAACTTATCTGGAAGAGAGAGTTTCCGAATAAAATATGTATTATTAGTATCTATTTTCATCTATTTATAATATTAATTTTAAAATTCATTTACCACAATCATGAACAGGAAACTACGTACAAAGAGCCATTCAGTGCAGACCAAATTTCTCGATACTTAGAGTTAGCGCTTGTAGCGGATAATGCTCTATATAAAGCATATGGAGAGAGCATCACCAATTTGCACATGCATTTGAGGGACATCGCTAACATCGTCTATTCTGTAAGTTAACGTTTAAGAAAATAATTGTACTATGTCTTTAATATATATAATGAATAATAATAATAATAATAATGAAAGATCTTAGTGCCTATGCTCTCCAGGTTTTTATAAGCACGATGCTCGTATCATGAACGCGCGTCGTTTTCCATATTTTGTACTGATACATAAACGATAAATTAAGAAAAAAAATGCAGCTTACTTGCGTTCGTGTCGATATAAACGCGCATTAAACGCTGGTCGATGGCGTTTTAAAAGGTTCTCATGTGCATAGGCTTTTATGATTTTGCAGACAGCGCTTATACATTATTTACCAAGCAAAATCTAGCATATCTATCTATTCTCTTTCTAATGCGTTTTTCTATTGCTACTACTATTCATATTAGGGCTATGAACCGATTTAAAAAAACGGTTTATTTTAGTAATGTAATGGTGAATACATTGCTCGCTTTTTAACCGGTTAATGAAAACAAACGGTTTACTAAACCGAAATAATAAGGTTAATGGTTATCCTTAGAGAAGGTGGATTACCAAAATAAACCGATTAATTCATCCATTTAGCAAGGCGCACCAAGTAAAAACGCACAAAAACTCATTTTAACCGGTTAATTTTGGTCATGGAACCTAAATTCGTCAAAAACCGTTTTCCCGGATTTAAGCGGTTAAAGAACGTAACCAAAACCTTAAGCCGAAAAGCCTTTCGGTTTAAGGTCAATGACAAAACCGGTTTAAAAATTGAACGGGTTTCCGAGCCCTGATCACTATCTCTGCCGTCTGTGAATGATTTCGGTTTATCTATCCACTCGGGAACTTTTGTTTGCACTATTTCTTACAAATGAAACCCGTCCGCTTAGTTTAAATCTAAGACAGTCAAAGGTTCAAGAGATCTGAAATTAAAAAAAATAATTCATATTACATTTTTTCTAGTTATTTGCTCCCTGGAACATTTACGTAGCGCTCGTGGGTGTAGATATTTGGACTGAGAAAGACGAAATAAAGTTTGAAGACGATATGATTGATATACTTAGTAGCTTTTTAGATTATAGAAAAATAAAGCTTGGACGTTATATACCGAACGATAATGCACAGTTGTTGATGTGAGTAAAAAATGAAACATTTATCTAAATATAAATATCTTGTGTCACGGTGTTTGTGGTCGCACTTCTCCGAAGAAGCTCGACCGATTTTAATGACTTTTTTTGTGTATTTGGTAGGTAATAGAATAGGTCGTAAATTATTCTTCACCTTCCTATCACCATCCATTTTTTAATCATGATTTTTGTATGAACAATATCTTAATAATTAAATATTATATATAAATACATAGCGGTGGACGAACCCGAGCGAAGCGAGGTGAGACGCTATATAACATAAAACAAAAGAGTTTTTTTTGTTGAATGAACGCGGACAAAGCTGCGGGTTTCGCTAATCATTTATAAAAATATGCATCTTATAAGCACCAGCGACTTGAACAGCGTGGTGGACTATGACCTGTTCTGGAACATAACCCGTGCTCAACCGTGGGTCGTTGAAAGAGCTGAATTATATGATTGTATATCACCAAGGTTTGCAAAAACCTACCGATTTTAATTAAGAATTTTATTTTAATGCTTTAATAAATAAAAATATTTACAGAAACTATAAATCATCCAGCATGGTATTAAATGATGCTATCTTAGGATCAATGTGTAACGAACAATTATCTGGAGGCGTGATCAGAGCTGATTCACAAGATTTGGGTATAACTGCGACAAGATAGCTTATTCGATAGGTCACAACCTCAATATGTCCGACGATATTGAATATTGTTACTGTCCAGAAGACTCTTGTATAATGTGCCCCAATATTAGCGAGAATAAACTACAAACACACAGGTCATCTTGTAGTTTCTTATCTTTAATCAAAACCTTTGACAAAGGCTTAGGTTATTGTTTGAGGTATTTTTTTTTAATATTTTATCTTACTTCTTACTAATATTATAAAATGTGAATAGACGGATGTTTGGATTCTCGTTACTCAATCACGCCAGAACGGATCTGAAAATTGGCAAAGAGATAGATTATAATCTGGAATGGCACATAGACTGCTTTTATCCCCGAAAAATATACAGTTCCCGTAGGATAGATTTGTGTTTGTTTTTCTAGAAGCTAACCCTCGCTAGTTTATTATAATAATATGAAATTGCGAATTATAACGAAACAATTGCTATAAGTAAACGAGGAAATATGTTTAATATGAATGGATAATTGTTAAAGTATAGAATAATACGACACCAGTGTTATAACGGACACTAGCTTACCGCATACACCTTTTTCCGAAATCAGGCATAGTACTATTAAACTATTAAGTGATAATAGGCGGGAAGTAAGGAACGGAAGTCTAACTCGATACGTAGAGTACAAGAGGAGGCATGGAAGAAAAGGTAAATGTAATATTAGATGTGATAGATGAAAGATAATTTGTTGTATTTTGTATGACAGGGTCCGATCGAGAGGAGAATGAACTGCCTAATGGTTAAGGGACTTGTGGACAGGAGTATCCAATAGTAATGGTACCTACAATAAAACTAGTGCCAATTTAATCTTAACACTGGTGCCCATTGTGGGGCAACAGCGATATTTTGGAAGAACTTTTATTTAACTCTACAACTGAATTCGCGATCATACTCGTAATTCATACAACTAATAAAAAGTATGTTCGCGGATTCAGCTGTCGAGTTAAGTATACATAGATATTTTTAAAATTATATTATAGTTCTCAAGACATAATTTTACAACTACATTGTATCTATTTATTATACTTTTTTTTTTATTAAAGTTAATAATTTGGAATCTTTAGAAACAAGCCGAAGCATCTTTTCGGCTCACCCTTTTGTGGTAACGGTTTTATTGAATTCAACGAGGAATGTGACTGCGGAGTGTATCCGAGTGTAGCTTGTGCTACATGTTGCAACCCGCTAACCTGTCTCTTGAAGCTTAACGCGACTTGCGCTTTAGGAGAATGCTGTGATCTATGGGTGAGGTTTTCTTTATTAAATCATACTTTATAATCATAAAATTAGGTTTAGTTTTAATAATAATTTTTCAACCGATTTTTGAAATATAGCAGGCATCTTTTTGGCAATGTGAATGGAAATATGTCTATGCTATAGACATAGATACGTCTTTGCTACAGATTTTACTGCTCTTTTTATGATTTTTCATAGTAATTATTAGAAAAATTATCTAAATTTTAGCTATTTTTAGACGTTAGAACATGGCGGTAATGGTAGTATTCTTTTAGTTAAATAATTTTCAAATTATGATCGGTATCAGGGGTTATCCCTCATCTAAACTTATAATTTTATGTTGATATTTAATATAAATACTAAACAGTAAACTTGGTTATAAGAGATGACTCTAATCCATTGATATAGTTTTTATATATCAATGATTTAATCACATAGATTTTGGATGAACGGATTACATCAAAATCGGTTCAGATTTATAAAAAACATAACTCTCCTTTTGAGCTTCACTGCAGTGAGAAAGAATTACCTTACCTTAATTATTATGTTATGTGGCATTATTGCTTCTAAATCAATCAACACAGTCTCCATTTAAGAAACTTTTATTATGGAAAAAGTAATAAACATTCTATGAATATTCTAAGTAATTATTCGATCTTCTATTATACAATAACAGACATGTCAGGTGGAAGAAATATTAACAGTTTGTCGACCAGAGAAGAATGAGTGTGATTTACCCGAATATTGTAACGGATTTTCCGGAGATTGCCCAAAAGATGTATACAAGATGGACACTACAGCTTGTTCTCATGGCGAGGTACAATCACAATTCTAACGTTTTTAATATTTTAATTGTTTTCGTAATATAATATTTCTAGAATATACGCTATTCGGTTTTAGTTACTAGCGCGGCCACGGAGACGGTATATACGTTTGGGGTAAGGAGTGTTTGTGTGTGTCTGTTACCATTTTTCTCGGAAATGGCCTGGCCGATTTTGAAACGGTTTTTTGTTTTGTATAAGCTTTATTCTTGAGCATGTTCTTAGCTAAATGTTATAATGTCACAGCCCGTAAGATATCTATAGATCAGATAGATATCAATAGTATAAACATGTTTGTCTAAAACGATTATTTTATTTAAATAAATGTATTGCATTTACATAAAAAAATTAAATTGAAATATTTAAATTAGGTTTTATTTGTGGCGAAAGCTACATAAATTAAAATTCCACGACATTAAAGCGTAATATAGAATACTAGCGAGTACCGACTCACCCTCGCCTCGCTCGGGTTCGTCCCTAGTTACGTTTTAACGTTTAGTATAGATTTCTCATTTCTTATAATTAATATGGAAAATATTATTACATCGGATTTATAGATTATAGGAAGGCTTTTGACTCAATATTACACAAAGCTATAATTTTATTAGTCATAAGGAAATTTTTACTGGTCAGAGAATAAAGGCTATTTTCATTTCATTTCATAGATTTCTCAGAGATGAAATTTTTCCCCCTGTAAAGAGTGTCCTATATGTTTACCCGGATAACCAGCTGTCACCATACTAACTGCAATGTAAGAGTATACTAATATGTAAAACCCAAGAATTTGGTTTTTGGTCATCTGAACGCGGGCGGAGCCGCGGGCAATGATAGTATTTTATATTACGCTTTAATGTCGTGGGTTTTGAATTTTTTATTGGAAATATATTTCACATCACAATTTTCCGTCGTGTTTTGTTTTAATTTATGTTTTATTTCACATTAAGAAATATTTAATTCACTTTAATATTTAAAAAGTATTTTTTTTTCTATGTTTTAGAGATAGCGACTTACTTGCCTCATTGCTATAGGTAGCCAATGGGTTAGTTCAGGACATAGTCTATCTCCCTTTAATGTGGTGGGAGGGCTAACACTAAAAAAATCTTGCAAGGCGCCACCACTTAGGCGAGTGGGTACCATGCTATAACTTACTACTCTATACTTCTTACAAATGTTCATCAATGCTATTATTTTCAGGCATACTGTGTAAAGGGCGAATGTAGTACACATAGCGACCGGTGTCAACTGCTCTGGGGAGAGTCAGGAATAATGTCCAACAAGAAATGTTATGAAACTTTTAATGTCCAAGGCAATGAGTGAGTATTTTTAGTATTAACATTTGACAAAACTAAAACCGAGTGAAGAGAACAATGAGCCTAATGGGGTCCATTACGCTGTGTCTTTCAAAAATTAGTTGGGTTAGGTTACGAACTGGCTTTGCACCCCCCCCCCAACGTTTACCTTGTCGTGGTGGGGGGAGGGGAGGGGGGGATTTGGGGGAGGGAGGGGGATTTGGGGGGAGGAGGGTGAGGGCCTAAAGCGGCCCACCTCGGTGGGATGTGTACTTCATTGGCAGCAGAGTGGACCGTTGGAGCAACCCCATGGTTCGTGACAACCGTTGTATTCTGCTTCGGTAGACCTGCCGTCGGGGCGTCGTGTTTGAGTGCGTAAGCGATCTTGCGACGCCCTATTACGACAGGAGACTTTGTTGGGTTTTAGGTGTAGTATTTGGATTTTCTAGCCGGTGCGCCCCACATAACCTATATATGTATGTTTATAGGTGGTATGCGTAAATGCATCGCTCAACATAAAAAAAAATAAAAAAAGGAACTGCTTTCCGTGGTTTTTTAAAGCGAACCTTACTCACCAGTTTATAAGCTAAATATTTTGAGTCAATCAACAAAAAAAATTGTTAAGGAAATGCCAAGAACACTTTAAACGAAGAAGGTATTTTAGGAAGATTTTATTTAAATGCAAATATTATTTTCAGAAATCGTTACTGTGGTTACCGACGTGGTGAGCAAATAACATATAAAGAATGTTGTGAACAAGACGCGCTCTGTGGCCTGTTACACTGTGTACATGACAACAGTAGCCTACAGATAGGTATGGGAGACGAAACAACAAAATCGAACCAAGTAAATCAAAGCTTTGCCAATTCAGGTATTAAAACCTACACATTACAAAAAAAGGTTTTTTCTTGGCAGTAAAATGGACTCGTGGTGTGACGGCAAACGTGGGCGTGACGCTGTCATGCTATCATGTCCATTCTACGCCACCTCTCTCGCCTCCCTTGTGTGTGCGCGCGCGCATACTATACACGCACCATTGTAAAACAGTCTCTATTAAAAATATTTACATATATTCTATTCTATTTATGTATATATATATATTCTGTAATTAGGCATTATTATATTGAAAATAATAAAAAATGATTTTATTAACGAAATATTTTTTATTTATTTTACTCCATATTCCGTTTTAGGTTTTTTTTTAAATAAAACTATCTTTTAGGCTTTTTCCGCGGATTTATTTTGATTTTTGGTTCCCGATATTTTGAATGTTTTACAGCCAATCATGGTCACGGGAGAGGCAATCTATCCATCAATACCATATCTAATTGATGTCCAATTTTTTTTGTAGAGATACTATTGATACTTACAGGTTTACGTCATTTGACTCATTTCCATGATTGCAATACAGCTATGATAGATCTGGGTCCGCCTAAGGAGGACCCAGGTTTGGTACCAGATGGTGTTAAATGCGGTGAAGAAATGGTATGGGATGTTTTACGATTTCAGAATTTTATAAGGTTTGCTTATTAACAAATCAAAGATAATCACATTATATATTAATGTCAAGCAGTAAGCGGACAGATGGACAGATGTTCATTAAGCAGTGGTAACCCAGCTGGTAATTGTAACGAGTATTATAAATATAAGGGGCTATGAAAAAAAACCATAATTAACATGACATATAAAACTAACAAAGATTATTATTTTTAGATGTGCTTGAAACAAAAATGCGTATCTATAGCATCCATACGTCAAGGTATTGCTAAAATGAAAACATCCATTTGCCCTTCGAATTGCTCAGGAAATGGCATTTGTAACTCCGAAGGTAAGAAATAAACAACAACAAATAACAAATTAACAACAACATAACAAACAAAAAACAAATGGTAACAAATTTCTCAAATTGAAATTAAAAAATCAAATTTATTGTATCAGTGGTTGCGTATTGTTAACGAGGTCATTTGAAGACTTAATCGAAGCGGATTCAAATCTAGGTCTCACACTTTTAAATAATAGGGGTTAAAGTATGAAATTGCCGATTTGTATATCTTACTTATTTCACTTATCTAACTTATTAGTATCTCAATAGTCGCAAAAAAATTCTAAGAATTAATGTATAAATACATTTACAACACAAATTCACTAGCTTAAATATTTTAAATTACACAAAAAACAATAGCGAATCACGCGCGGTTTTCTTGAAATCTAAACAATTTTTGATGTGTTTGTTTTTAATGTTGTGAACATTTAATTAAAATTTTATTTTTTTATATACTTCATAAACTTCTAAAGTTTGCGTGTATTACTCATTTAGCATAAAATAAACTGATTTTGTCTTGTAATATGTGATAAAAGTGCAGCGGGCGAGGTGGTGCCTATAGGCACCAGCGGGGTTTGACGGTAACGCCGGAAGTGGTGCCTATAGGCACCAGCGGGGTTCAAGTGGTTAAGACTTCAGTAAAAAGTTAATAATATTAAGTGAGTGTAGACGTTTGAAACGGTTGGACGAATTTAATAAATATTATAAGTACGAGGTAGCGGTACGTAACTATTAGAGCTGTAGTTTTGTTATTTTCCTCCCACAGATCACTGCCATTGTTCCCCTGGTTTCGAACCGCCGTTGTGTAATCGCGCCAACGTCCGATCCATTGACTCCGAACCGACATATTATATCAAGCAAGTTAATTTGTTAATAAATTTCAGTAGTAATATAAATCACGTCCTCTTGATCGATTTCGGTCACAGCGACCAATCTTACTGAACCTAGCACAGGAGGTCTTATCGTGCGAAAACGTTTTGAGAGATCAGGTGCAGGACCGAAGCCACACGTGCACTCCAAAGCTGTAACTTATGATATTATATTGCACAAGTGCACGCACACATGCAAGTGCACTCTCTATTCCTGTCATTATCTTACTCTGGTCGGATGACAATTTAATTATTGTTGAGAGATCAGGCGCAGGACTTTTCTAAATAGAAAGATTTAATAACTAAACTTGACCTGACCCGGGACTCGAACCCAGGACCTCCGAATCTGCAGCTATACATATTAGCCATTAGACCACAGAGGCAGACCAATAGCAATTATACTTGGCCAACTACATCAAATTATAATTTCGTGTATAGAAACAACTAAATCGATTTAATTTTATTACAACAAATCTTTGTTGTTATCTACATCTACCGCTTTTTTTCTGTTGAAACAGATAAATTATGACTTTCATCTGAGGTAAATTAACATATTTTATTATAATTTGCTACATTCCCTTTTTACTTTGTGATGATATTTTTTTCTTTTTAATAATTTGCTTCGTCTTCTCAGATCGGAGGAAACTACGTTACCATAGACTCATTCGAAGCGTTCACATCGTTCTCTGCCAGCAACTGGAGTCACAATTATGAGAAGAAATTATCAATGTTTATATATCTATCAACTTTACTACTTAATCGATATATTTGAAAGAATGAGCTTAGATAATAAAAATTAAAGAATATCTTGAATATTGAATATATGATAGTCAAGAATTACTTTGATGTTTTATTTTTGGATGATTCTATGTTTCTGGGAAATTATTTATTTATTTATATTTATTTTAATTATTGAAAAGAATTCAATCAGTACACATATTTCAAATAATAAACTTTGCACGGAAGTGTATAGGGTCAAGTGGGAGACAGTGTAAAAAGACTTTTTGTTACATTGTAACTAAAAAAAAATATTTTTAGAAAAAAGAATAGAATAGAATAGAATCTTTATTGACACAATTGTTTGTTGTTACATAAGTCTGTTGAAGCCTCTGACTCCCAAACTAGAATAAACCTGTATGTCAGGAGTCAGCGCCCTCTTCCATCTTTAATGATAATTGGAGGTCAATAATATTACGGTGCATGTTTAACTTAATTTTAGAAATTCTTTGTGAAAGAAAAAAATCAAATAAAAAGTAAAATAAAAATTAACTTTAATAAAAATGTACTAAGTGAAGTTACGTAAAATACAGTATAATACATGTGTGTGTGTGTGTGTGTGTGTGTATGTGTGTATGTGTGAGTGAATGTGTGTTTGTGTGTGAATGTGTGTGTATGTGCGTGTGCGTGTGTGTGTTTGCGACCCTTTTATATAAAGACCCTTTTATATTTAACAAATCGTCTTCTTAATATTAACCATACAATCATTGATATACAAAAGCTTTATACATCAATGCATAAAATATAGTCATTAACCTTCCTATTATGTTTGAATTAATATCAAAACTATACTTAGAAAATACTTATTTTTGTAGTTTTCTGAGATCACAAATTTATTATACTGTGCCCCAGGTATGGGGTACATTAGACTAAATTTACATCAAACGGAAAAATATAGAAAATAAAAACTTTTACACAATCAATTATATTCCATAATATATTATTGGTAATTATAATAAATATATTTAAAATATTATCTTTTCTTAACCTAGATTAAAGTGCCTCGCTATTTTTCTGTCAATAAATAGCCTGATGTTTTGTTTTTTTTTTCATATTAGGTAATGGCAATATATGCTCAATATCATCTAGTCTGACGGCAAGAAGATCTGGTTCTAAAATAAACAAAAGAGATATTGTGGAATTTATTACTTTTGCGTAGGTAATTGACGCACCCCGTTACATTTTACTCCATACCCTTCATTTTAAAAAAAATCGTTAAAGTTTTATGGCAAAGATCTATCTAAACACTAAATATTTGTAGATTAAAAGAAACATCTATTTACTTATCACACACAATTATTTTTGTGATTATAAACTTATTTTAATGTTCATGCTGCGGAACCCTCAGTGTGTGAGACAGACTCGCACTTGTCTTATTTTTATTATAATGTCTAGGATGTAACTGTTTAAATTATATTATTTAGCATTAAATTATTACAGTTTTTACTGAACCTCAGGGCTGAGAAGAACTGGCGAAAGAACTCGGCGAGAGTTTTAATGTTTTATATTTTTTTGTAAGTAAAATTATAAATTACAATAATTGTACAACATTAAAGTAGGCTGGGGGCAATCACACCATCCTCAAGGCGTGCGGTGCCATCTTGTATTAAATCATTTTGTTATATAATTTTAGCACATCATCGTTACATGATTATAGTATGTATGTATATTGTATACAGGGTCATTTTTAACTTACTGAAAACCTTTTGGGAATATACTATTTACACCATAACAACAACATCTGTAACAAAAAAATAATAATATTTCTATTTTCTTCCTATTATTTCCAAATTGCTTAAATTTATTAAAATATTTGCATTTTCCAAAATAAAATTATATTAATTAATCTTTTGTTGCCGATTAAAAGGACTTGTGGAGCAGTGTTAAATTTGAAGATTAATTAAAAAGATAAATTAAGGTATATACCAAATAGTCTAAATTTTCTAGAACATCTTTATTTTTTAAATCAAAGGTACGCCATACTTTTCTTAATCATTTTCTAGCACAGATGCCCCATTCAAAGAAACTGGACAGCGCTATTTTGTGCTATTTTTGTTTTCTTATGTAGACTATAGATGGTATTGGACCGTATTTTATATAACAACTAGCGACTCACCCTTGCTTCGCTCGGGTTCGTCCCTACTAGTATAGTATTATGTGATCTGCGGTCCCTACTTACGTTTTAACGTTTAGTATAGATTTCTCAAAGATGAGATATTTTCCCACAGTTAAGAGTATCCTATATGTTGACCCGGATCATCGCTATTATCATACCTAATTTTATTTAAAAAAAATCCTCCAGTGGTTTTTCCGTGATGTGGTCACTAACAGACAGATAGACGACAAAGTTTTTAAAAACTATAGATTCGGCCTCTGTATCGATAATAATTAATAATGTCTATTTCAATAATATTTTCTAAAAAATATTTAATGTACAGATTCGACTCACTCTGAACTTTATTAAATGTATAGATTAATTTTTTAATACCTGTGTACTTGAATATATGAAATATAGCAAAATTCATTTTGCATTTAATAAAACTAATGCAAACTTTACTATTTTTAATTGTGGTAAACGACTCATAAAATATCAATGGCATCTATGATCACAACAAAAACTTTTATCTTAACTTGGCTGGTTTTTCTACAATGAATAAACTTTAAAAACAAATTAAACGCGTTCTTTAATTGTACTTTACCTATGGTATTTATACAACCGGCATATACCTTTTTGAGGTCAATATTTTTTCTTTATTGGCTTCATACAAATATTAATAGAAAATCGATACAAAAATACCGCCATCTGTTGACGTCTGCTTGAACCAATTTCTGAGTGATTCTGATGGTATGTTTGTACTAATATATTATTATGTCATCTGTACCTATAAATTAAGTTCGACTGCGTCATTCGAACAATAATATCAATATATAATATTGTACTCGATCTGAAAAACCTGTCTCATTTATAGTCTCACTGTTCTTGTAAAATGTTGTGTAATATTCTGTTCGGTACCTCTTTTGTGGTTTTATTAGGTTTATTTAGCAATGGGCAAGCAATACGTAAGTGCAGCGTTATTATTTGAATTTATATCCACGCAAAGAGATTTAACACTTAAGCATGTGAAATGTAATACTTTCTTAGATTTACGCGAATATTTGACACCCATAATTACTAATATTATAAATGTGAAAGTGTGTTTGTTTGTTTGTTTGTTTGTTTGTTTGTTTGTTTGTTTGTTTGTCTTCCTTTCACGTCGAAGCGGCTTGGCGGTTGGTGTGATTTTTTCTATAGAGATAGTTAGTTGGAGGGCTGAGAGAGTGAGTGCTGAGAGGCTACTTTTTACCGCGGGAGATTATCTCTTTCCCATGGGAAAACACGTTATAATACAATCCAAAAGAAATATTTATGATCAGAATTACTTGAAACTTGGTATAAATTGGGTTTTTTATAGTTTTAGCGCGAGCGAAGGCGCGGGTTCTGCTAGTTTTAAATAAAACTATCTTTTCGGATTATTTCGCGGAATTATTTTTATTTTTGGTTCCCGACGTTTCGAATGCATTACAGCATTCATGGTCACGGGAGAGACTGGGGTTTTAGACGTCTCCAAGGCGTTATACACCTACTTGTTACAGACAGTGCCTACCCACTATTTTACAAAAATGATTTCAAAAATTCAAAAATGGCACCGTATAGAACCTTAGGTTAAGCAAACTATAATGGAAACCTTTATTAATGCTTTAAGTATCTACGCATTATTGCATTACTTGTTTTTACTTCAACTAGCACGAATTTTTTTTTATCGACTTTAAGAAATAGTAGAGTACGTAAGTTCGTTTACGTTAAGGGTTAAAGGTCATGTATTAATTTCAAGAAAAAAAATCTCTCTGTTTAAATGATATATTGATATAGTATACATATCTGTGACATGACCGGTGAGAGATCAGGCGCAGGACCGACGGCTTTACGAGCTCTCTTAGGCACGGTATTTACTTACCGCCAATTTCCCAACTCCGGGCTTTTACTAAGAATTTCTTGGCAGAAAAGTAAAGAGCTACACTTGGTCTGACCCAGGTCTCGAACTCAGGATCTCTGGATCTGCAGCAGAACACGCCAGCGACTAGACTGTCGAGGCAGTTAATTTTTGTAAAATTTATTTTATTAAATTTTGGTACTGTAATTACCTAGTAGGTAAAATATACATACCCAAGAATATGACCATTGTTTGTGAATAAAAATGCAAAAATTGGAATTTTATAGAAATAGAACACCACTCAGGTGTCATCCAATCAGATGGTTAGCAAATATTTATAACTTATTCAGTTTCGAAGCACGACGTTATGCAATTTGGAATGGGGAATTGATCTAGCGGTATATACCTAAATCTAGCGGAATTCTGAATTCTCAATATAATGTCTCATCACAATTCACAACGAATTTAAAATGAACAAATTATTATTTTAAAAATATCCAAAAATGGAACTTCGTTGAGTCTTTTGTTTGTTTGTACATATCTATTATAATCTATTCATTAATTTCTATTAATTTCTTATGTGTCTATAAAGCTTTATTTTAAACATTATTGTACTTTTAATCTAAATAAAAGAATAATTCAACATAACTTACCTTTTATAAAACTTAGTTTTGGCTATTTCCAGCTTATTTCAGATTCACGCTATTCTTTTTCATTTGTACTTAAATAACACAAATAGATCTAATGAGGGACATTCACCGCATTTATGATACTAAGTCAAGTATACAATTATTAATAATCTCACAATGGAAGGAAGTCACTGTGCGTCATGGTGTCGTGGAAAAAAATTAAAAAGGCACCCATTCATCTGATACGTTTTTTACCTCGATGCTTTGGGGCAGGCTTAA